GAGTGCGTTGTTAAACAACAAACAAACAAACACACAAACAAAACTTCATGCGGCTTTAACCATGTCCCCCAAATAGCACATGTTATTGGAGGAAAACCTATATAAGAAAATGTAAAAAGCTGTTTTTTCACTCTCATTCACTGACTTGAACCTCCCTCTGCATCCCCTTCTCTGGATGAGGACAAACACAAGACACATGGTGACAGCCATGTTTTATTCCAGGTAGTCTAGTCACACCTGCATACAAAAATAACCTGCCACATAATTAGACATAGTTATATTATTGGTTTGTAACAACACTGACAAAACAACAAAAACAACATCATTGGTAACAAAACTGAATATTGGTTAAAATAAAATTTGAGCATACAATGAATTATGCACAAATGACAAATATTGCAGTAACACTTTGTTTGATTGTATCTTAATGATTGCACACTGGTTACCAAGATGTTCACACATCATATAAAATGTACACACTATTATCACACTACGAAATATAATTGTTGGATTTACCAGAAACAGCACACAATACATTGTATTCTAATAAGCTCCTTTAGCCTTTCAGCAATTTTCAAGGTATTCTTTAGGTATATTTTTCAATCATGATTAATTCATGGTTCAAATAAAAGATTAAAAGATTTGTTGCTATCAATTAAAAAACATGAAGCAACATTTCTATGTACTATTGGCATCACACAAATACTTCTTCTGAAATCAATCCCCACAGTCTAAACAAGCGAAATTCAAATATGTATTTCTCCAGGGTATGAAACTCCCCAAAATTTCAGCCAGACCACAGGACTGGCTAGCTGAAATACTTGCCAGCCCTGACCAAAACCTGCCTGCCCACTATAATCATATGTTTCTCAGGATAAGCTAACGGGGTTTCTTTTTGGTTACATTTTATCATTCATCTTTACATGTGAATTAATGCTTATCATCGGTAAATATTTAGAATATTTTCACATATGAAATATAACCCGACCGTCGGGCAGGGGGATTTGAAAATCTGGCAGCCCGAGTTGAAATCAACCCGTCTCGGACGGTCGGGCAGGCAGGTATTTTGAACACTGATTTCTCCCTTTGCTGAACAACAATGAGTCTGCACTACCATCAATCAATGCAACTTGTGGTCTTTATACAGAAATAGGATTAGCAGGGTTTTTTTCTGTATTGTATATACTGGGGAGTTGCACTGCACCATAACACCCACTGGAAAACTAGCATGGGTAGTGGGGACCTACTCTTCCCCAGAATCCGGACAGATGGACAGGCAGAGAGTACTGGGGACCTACTCTTCCCCAGAAACCGGACAGATGGGCAGGCAGAGAGTACTGGGGACCTACTCTTCTCCTAACAGATGGACAGATGGACAGGCAGAGAGTACTGGGGACCTACTCTTCCCCAGAATCCAGACAGATGGACAGGCAGAGAGTACTGGGGACCTACTATTCTCCAGAATCTGACAGATAGACAGGCAGAGAGTACTGGGGACCTACTCTTCCCAAGAATCCGGACAGATGGACAGGCAGAGAGTAAGTGGGACCTACTCTTCTCCAGATCCCTGACAGATGGACAGACATAGAGTACTGGGGACCTACTCTTTCCCAGAATCCGGACAGATGGACAGGCAGATAGTATACGGGACCAATAATGCACCTGAATCCCTACAGGGAGATAGGCATGACGTACCGGGGACCTATACTTCCTGGAATCCCTTCAGGGAGACAGGCATGAGGTACTGGGGACCAATACTTCCTGGAATCCCTACAGGGAGATAGGCATGAGGTACTGGGGACCTATACTTCCTGGAATCCCTACAGGGAGATGGGCATGAGGTACTGGGGACCAATACTTTCTGGAATCCCTACAGGGAGATGGGCATGAGGTACTGGGGACCTATACTTCCTGGAATCCCTTCAGGGAGACAGGCATGAGGTACTGGGGACCAATAATTCCTGGAATCCCCACAGGGAGACCAGTTTATAAAACTACATTATTGGGGAATAAAATGTATAAATAAAGCCAATGTTGAAGAATAGTGAAGACAATCTACTAAGAAATGAATGTTGCTGACACTCCCTGTATTTGGGAGCTGAGAAAATCACATGATGGTCCATCTTCCCAAGGCAAGGGAGTTAACTGACTATGAAAGTCCAGTTTCTACCCTTGCCGAACTAGGCTGGAATTATGGAGTTACATTTTGGCTGCATTGTCCAATCAAAATCGCATAAAGAAATCAACATCCTGTCCATCAACTTAGCATCAACACATATTTTCCAAATCTTTTCATGTTTTTAATCAAGGTGCTCACGTGACTAGATGCATTTCGTGAAGTAAACCGATTCTTTTACAATATAGATCTTGACTATTGATTAGATTGTCTTGACTGAGCACCGCCATTTTGTTTGAAGCAAGTGATATCAGAGGTGGAATCTGATTGGTCAATAAGAGGGACATAGAAAAGAGACATCACTCGGAATAGACACTGCTATGATCGAACCCAGAAACTCCAACCTAGTTCGGCATGGGTGGGACTGGACTTTTACAGTCAGTAAACTCCCTTGCCTCAGGAAGATGATAATGGTCTTGACTTTCACACAATACTAAATATTACACATGGATAAATATTAATAAAGGTTCTCAAACCATGTCACAAACCCATATATGCAACAATGCAACAAGGATATATTAAATGTTAAAAATAGTGTAGTATTATACAATGGCAATTACAGGACAATAATTACAAAAGGTAATAACAATTGTAAGAAACAGGTAATTGTATCCCGTCATTTGCACTTATCGCTGTGCCATTAACCAATAACTTGATACGTCCAATCCTGAATAATGAATAAAAATGAAAAGAACCTGAATACTACATACCTCTTCCTCATAGAACCAAAAAACTTGATTGATTTCCAACAATGTACATCAATATCTATCAGTTAGAGAGTGGAAGTTGTATGCTGCAGTCAGCATCACTTAATTTTACTCCCCCAAAGAAGTTAAAGAACACCATGAGTCATGGTCAATTATGGTAAATAATTAAGAACAGATGAAAAAAGTATTCAAATAACTATTGCTATCAACGATATTTTAGTATTTATGATTATATTATCTGCCTTGTTTTTAAATAATCTTTAGTTTAAAAAAAACCTTTTCCCGTGAGGTCACGTGATAACCAAATATGGGATAATAGTCTCGATCCAAATGTTACAACGCGTACACTTGAGCAGACTCATGAATATTTATTAGACCGTTCACTGCGTTCACAGATCGTTATTATAACAGAAACAAACGTATGTTTTCCATATATATCTAAAATGATATTATTTGTTATTAATTGTCTGGTGAATTAAACAATTTAAATTGAAACAATTCATAATTCATCATATTATGAATACGTAACAACTTGTAATGTGTGTGTAAAAAGTCGTACTAAAATACGCTATTTGCAGGGGGCGTGGCCTAAATACAAATGTCCGATTGGGATTTTAAATTTTCCGGACTCCTGACCATGACAGATTAACTATAGTAACATGAAAGACTTGGGTGTTCCTTAATTTCTTTTGAGTAGTATATATCATAGCAGCCTATGCCATTAACCTCGATAACCCAACCCCTCAAAAAAGAAACCCAAAATGTCTGAACCAAGTAAACTAGTGGCTGTTAGCATGAACACCCATCTGCAATGTCAGGATACGACGACAGGTGACATAATCTATCCCGATATGTTATTCTTTTTCTATTGCCTCTTGATTCTTGGCAAATCCATAAAACATAACAATTAATTGGCCAGGTCAACTACAGCTTACAGCTCGTAATGCAGGCAATCTCATTAAAATCAGACCTTAGTTCTCGCTACCGCTAAACAAAGATCTGAAGACATCCCATTAGGGGTCACGTCAGAACGACCTTTCATCCGACCAATCAGTGAGTCGCTTACCAGATTATTAAAGTGACAGTCTGAATGTGATTTCTAATCATGCAATCTTGAAATCTTTAACATGGGGTATTCCGAATGATAGTTACGTTTGTTACCGGTACAACTGACAATCTAGACCATATATTAGTCATTCCAGAATGTTTTTTGTTCAGGTTTCAAATCTTTAATCGAGAATTTGTCAAAATATGTTTCAAAGCGTAGTCACCAATTTGAAATTTGTGCCATAAAGCACGAGAAAGCTGCCTTCTGATTGGTCATTCCATTGGTCCGTCAAAGTTCGCGCAAGGCCGGTCTGTCGTGATCCGTAATGGGATGTCCTCAGATCTTTGTTTAGCGGAAGCGAGAACTAGGATCTGATTTTAATGAGATTCGGTATGCTGGGGTAGACTAGATCCCTAGCAACCCATGGTGGTCATATTAAAGAGGCGACTGAATGAATCGGGTGGTCAGGACTGGTGACTTGACTGCTAGCATGCCATCATACCCTGACTGCATGGTTGCTCATCATATCAATCATTGGATTGCCTAGTCCACATATTGTTGAGGTCAGCATTAAACAACAGAGCCCAAATAGATTAGCTATAGTCTCATACCTAGATACCAAAATCAAATACCAAAGCCCAAAAGAAACGTGAATTACATACATGTTGGTTAAAATATGAAGAATTCCTCATTTTCAAGAGATACTAGAGTGGTTCAACACACTAAGAAACATACATATACGTTGTGGGAAACGACACTCATGAACGCATCACATGTGACATCATACATCCATGTAAAACAACACTCATGAACGCATCACATGTGACGTCATACATCCATGTAAAACAACACTCATGAACGCATCACATGTGACGTCATACATCCATGTAAAACAACACTCATGACCGCATCACATGTGACGTCATACATCCATGTAAAACAACACTCATGAACGCATCACATGTGACGTCATACATCCATGTAAAACAACACTCATGAACGCATCACATGTGACGTCATACATCCATGACTCAAGATGCACCATTTGTCTCGTGCAGGATTAGCATGTAAAGTTTGGAAATCATGAGAAGCATATCGTGATAAAAATAAAGACACTCTGTGATAACACTTGACTGATTGTTAGTTTTTTTATCAATTGGTACACTTTGGAAACATTTCTTAATGTTCATACTTCTCTATATGTTTCTATGGTTCGCGTTTTCTTTTGGCGGTGAGAACAGATTAGACATAGTCTCTTGACTGGACACAAAAGACAAATAACATATCACCGACACACATAAATTGCCATATTCAGGACAATTTCTATCAACTTTATAATGTGACTGAAGCACCTTCCGACATCGACTTTGCAAAGCTTGGATTAAGGCTACAGGTGTTACAATGGTTACGGAAACAAATATCAGCAATAATGTTGATGCTAAAATGCATTAAATAATGGTCCCTGGTAACAAGTAATCACAGTTTATTGTCCTTGTAATCAACATATGCCATTTATATATAATATATCAAACTGACAAAATGAAATAATTCGTTGAAAGACAATGTCATAATTAAGCCTAAGGACTGTAGCTCACCATGTCCCATCTCCAACTACTGCTGAAATCTTGAAATAAAGATGGCCACCTGGCGGCCATATTGTTTTCTTTATTCTGATGTTTTAAATGTACATAGAGGATCTCACATGAGTGTCTTTTGATATAAAATATATCAACACAAGTGGATAAAAGTGGAAAAACTCCGAGGCTTGCTCAGGGTGAGATTTTATTTATCATCCAGCATCATTCTTCCAACTTTTTCAGTTTGTAGACAGTAATAGGCAGTGTCTTAGTGTAAAAGGTATGCTAACAGCTTCAGTAGTAGAGCCATTAGTGATGTCATTTGATTGTGACATCATGGTAACCAATGACGTCACAATGGTCTGCAAAGCATTGCGATGCAATTTCATTGCAGCGATATCTACAATGTAGATATCGCTTGATCTCACCCAAGCATATCTCCTCTGGGAGCCAGTTTTGGATGATAAATGACCTTATGGGCCAAGTGAGTCTCACAGCTATTGGCAGGTGGCCAGTGTTGTTTGGAGTCAACCCTATTATGACAGGTACCGAAGCTCACCTTTACTAAGAGGACAATCTTTTTGTGAGTGAAGTAAACAGAGTAGCAAATATATTTCTTTTTTTTAAAGAATAAAATGCTGATGAGGCCTTCATACTTCTAAATTACAGTAACACAAAATATAAACAAACAAAATTAGCTCACAGTTAACATAATCAACAGAAATATATAACAATATAAATAAATGTTTCACTTCATACCAATTCAATCTGTAGAATATACAATAGGTGGTACAAAGGAAGCAGTAGGATACAGATATATATAATTTAAATATATGCTAAAGGATTTGGCGCTTATGAATGTGGGTAACAGTACAAAAAAATCAACAATAATAAGTTCAAATATTCAACAACATATATAATCATAAGTATTATGTTTTTGTTTCCAGTGTGTTCAGCTGACCCTCCAGGGGCGGATCCTGCATTTGTAAAAGGGAGGGTTCAAAAATGTCTAAAATAATCCTCTCTCAGTGGGTTGGGGGGGTTGGGGTGGGGAGTGTTGAGTGTTGAGTGTGGAGGAGTGTCTATAACATACTCATTTGGTTTTCAAAGGGGGGGGGGGGGGTCATGGTCATGGTTCATCTACTGACAATGACAATGGTCCATCGCCTTCACCCAAACCAGAAATGTTCACCACCGATCCCAAAGCTAAAAACACCTCCAACCTCAAATGATCAAATAAAAAAACATTTTTACTTTAGTGTTAGTGGTACCATACATCCTCTTCATTCTCAATGTTAGTTTCTGAGGAAGACTCAACTAGTCTTGAATACAATATCATCCAAATGTCATTTGTCACTGCTGGTCAATATCATGCCACATGTAACATAGTATTGTGACGAGCACGAGTTGGTATCGGGACTTACAGAAGGGAATATCACACTGTCTAAAATACTACTCAAAATAGTTAAGGAACACAATTCTTTCATACTACTGTTTAATCTGTCATGGTGTGGAAGATTAACTATAGTAATGTGAAAGAATTGGGTGTTATTTAGTAGTTTAATGCTTCATTTGAAGAAGTTTCAATCATTTAAAATCTGCAATCTTTCTCGTTCAATGGGTCTCGCAGTGGATAATATTTGCACCATTCGTAATTTGTATGTGTATAGGAACATTACTTTGCATCCCTGTATATATGGTCAAAATGAAAGTACTATTTACCCATGAGTGAGAGAGTGAGTGAGGGAGCAGCAATATTCCATCAATGTCATGAAATGACCACACATTGTCGGGAATCAAACTTTGGCATGATGATTGAAGGCTTTAACCACTCAGCTACTCCGCCTCCCTTAACAGATTTCCAAGTTTGTTTTTCTCTTGCATTATTTCACATGCTCAGACACCTTACGCCTGTTACAGAAGGGGATTGGAAAATCAGTTCCAAGAAAGTCAACCACCGACACCCTGAAGAAATATCAGTGTCATGCAATCTACATTTCTAATAAGTTTCAGGATTAATACAATCCAATTTCATTGTAATCAGATCTTAGTTCTCGCAACAGCTGGAAAAAGATCTGAGGAAATTCCAATACTGGTCACATCAGAATGACATTTTGCGATCTTTGACTGACCAATGAAACGACTGTCAAGAAGTTTTCATAAGCCAATCAGGAATCAGCTTTCTTGAGCGTTACGCCACTAGTTTCAAACTGTCAACTTCCATTTCAGACTATGCTTTAATACAAATATTCTTATTGGATTCAAAATTTGAAAAATGAGCAAAAAAAATTCTGGAATGTCTAACAGAGTCTAAATTGTATGGCAGGACTTCCCATGGGCTGTGGAAAGTCTTCCCTTTGAAATGGTTCGCCTATTGAAGTAAGAGACAGACGACATTTTTGAAGGAATCAGTTCGGTGTCATTCAGAATTCTCCGAGGTTGCATGATCAGAAAACGCCTGCCAACTGTCACTTTCCCAATGTGGTAACCGACGCTCTGATTGGTCAGATGAAAGGTTGTTCAGACGTGACCCGTAATATCTTTAATAAGCGGTAGCCAGGACGGCGTTATGATTTACATGAGAATGAACACAATGATACTTTCTTGCCCCCAATGTGTCTGCATACAGGATGAAATATTCTGCATCCTGTAAAACCATTATCAGTTCCAACTCGGACAATTTCCCCCTCAACAGTAGAAATACACCTGCCATCTTATAGCACTGACATTATCACTGGGCAGGATCAAAACTTGACTGATTCGGATAAAATTCCTGCTACAGCCAAGGCCATTATTTTTTTATTTGTTGAATCACAGACATGCAGATACTGTTTTCTTCAAAACTTAAAATAATAATAATCATAATTTACACTTTTTATTTTTTCGCCGGCATGTCAAACACACAAATATATTTTGAGATTACTCAAGTGTTTCTAAAACAATTATCTATAAAACTCATGATGCTCAATGTGACATAATTTTTTCACCAAATTGTTCAGACGACGAGTCGTAGGGAAATTGGGAAATTCCTTGAATAACAGATCTAGAGTTATGTCCCTTTTTTTTGATACATAAGCATGCCAGCTGATGATGGCACAAAAGATGACAAATTCATCATTTAACCTAAGCATTGGTGCCAGACCTAATCGATATTGAATTGAGTGATGTATTTTTTAATTCTTCTTTCTTTGACCAAAAATATCTGCGATCAAACAAATAAAAAAATAATACCCCCTGCTGATGGCATAATCAACAAATAGCTAAAAGACCATGTTCGGTCATGTTCCATTTTTAAGACAGTGTATGATGTCAGATAAAACATCCTTTGTTCGGTAAGCGATGACGCCAGGGACGGCATTGCCACCTTCGTTGGAAGAAAACTGGTACTGAAGTTGGTGTGGCTGATCCGCACCCTTAATCGTGTCGAGATCTGTGTCGAGATCCGTGTACGGGACGATCCCTCCCCCGAGGGACAAAAGCACAGCGTGAGGGGCACAGCAGTCCCACTTGTAGATGGTCGGCCGGCTCAACACATAGCCATCCACGTGGCCCCACGCCGCACTCAGTATCTTGTAGCCCGCACCCGCGGCGGAAAACAGTGTGAACTTCTTGGACAGTTTTTGTTTGACGGCGTCGGACTCGCTGGAGCTGATGATGATGCTGTGTTTGTGGGACTTGGATGGCGTGATGGAGGACAGACGGACGTCTTTGTAACACACAGACCAGGTTGTGTTGTGCAACCATCTAAACAGAGGGCTGATATTTACCTTCAGACATGGAGTAAGAGTGTCATTGAGAGGGGTTAACACGAGGTAGGTGGGAAGATGCTAGTGTTGGGAATAAGTTGCAATCGGTGTGTTTGATGATTAGAACATCCCAACTGTTCTGTCATTTCGCTTTTTTCAATGTTAATTTCAGTAACACCAGATCACACTTAACAAAACAAAATTCAAATATCCCCGTGTTATGGGTTTCAATATCCCCGTGTTATGGGTTTCAGATGCTTAAAAAACATTCATTCTTGCAAATCACAAGAACTGTAAACATCTCACTCACTTATAAAAGACAACTTTATCTTAAAACCCCCATCATTTACAATGTTTGCGAGACGCCACACCCCTTGTTATAGCACGAGTAATCGCGATAAACAAGCCGTCCGAAAACATATGTTGTCCGAAAACATATGATCCGACGATACCTTCTTTAGAACTTTATTTAAAAACAACCCACTAACCACACTGTCTGCCCACATGAAGAGCCTGTCAACATCACCAGCATAGTCAACTCACTTCAACAGATTAGTCTTTCTCACAGTCCCCGATCCATATTATTTTCCCTCCACCCAGCCCTTACGGTAATGGTGCAGCCCTAATGAAGCAAGTCTAGATTTTTCAAAGATCCAGGAATCTCCCATCTCACTTGGGGTCTTCCTCAATTTAAGGGAGTTCATTATTTCTACAAAAAATCTTAGTAAAATCTTAATATTTTTTGCATTCGTATACTTATCCTGCATTATGCTTGATGTATTTACTGCCAGTTTTTACAGAAAGACAAAGCTGTGTGGACTCCAGCGGAAAAAGAAGTTGTTCCAACTAGTTGTGTGGCAAATTCCATGACACAGCGCCCATGTGATCACGGAAGTGAAGACATCATGGAACCTAACATTACTGCTTGTCAACCAGACTGACAAGTTCTTTATAATAAAGCTTCGTCTTTCTGTAAAAAAAACAGCAGTAAATGCAGGATATTAAAATTTAAAATTCTGAAACATAGCGTTGTGTAGAGTTGGACTTACTGCAGTGTTTTGGTATCCCATAATGCAAAGGGCTGGACACAAACTCCAGCTATTGGTTGGCCGGACTGTTTATCAAAAGCACCAATGAGAACAGTGACACACTGTAGGCCCTCATCAACAATGCCTTCGTTGTTCGGAGCTCCAGACTGGCCACGAATGAACTGAGCTGTGGAATCTGTAACATACAATGCAACCTTAGAATAATGACAAGAAGAGAACTAGGGGGGTCTCGTGGATACATTGCTTCTTGTTTGTTTGTTGTTTAATGCCACACTCCACAATATTCCAGTTATATGACTGTGGTCTGTAAATAATCGAGTCTGGACCAGACAATCCAGTGACCGACATCATGAGCACAGATCCACGGAATTGGGATATGATGGCACGCATCAACCAGGTCAGAGAGCCTGATCATCCGAGCACGTTAGTTGCCTCTTTCAATAAGCATAGCTGCCTCATAAAACAAGCATGGGTTGCTAAAGACCTATTCTAACCCGGCTCATCCCAATAGGGTCTATCCAGATCCCTGAGAAAGCATTACAAACTACATGTAACAGGGATTAGTGATGTAGTATGGTAAATAAACTTGAGTGGTATTGAGTGTATTCAAAGAACAATTGCCAAGTAAGGGTGAAGTCATTGATAGATATTTAGAAGTTGGAAGAACATAAATACATGACACTTTCGAAATTAGGATACCATGACATACATCAACCAAGTCAGGGCGTCTGACCGAACGACAAGCAATGTCGCCTCTTACGACAGGCCTAGGTTACTGAAGAACTATTCTAACCTGGATCTTCAGGGGTAGTTTTACACATTTGATACGTATTACTGATGTACCGATACATACTTATATAAACTGATAAAGTATCAAGACCAAATTCTCTTTAATATGTTGTATTTTGTCTAGAGTACCCCGACAGCTTGGTTCACAGCTCCTATCAATCACTGAACTGTCTGGTACAGATGCAATTATTTAAAGACCGCCCTCATATAGATGGCAGCAACACACAATACTCAGACTGGGCTGCGATCGTCTACTTTGTTTGTTTCTTTGTTAGTTTGTTGTTTAACACCGCACTCAGCAATATTCCAGCTACATCACGGCGGTCTGTAAGTAATCAAGTAATCCAGGATTGACCTTATGAGCATCAATCTGCGTAATTCTACCCTGACGCCCACTTCGTCTACACACCAATACAATCTATCCTGATGTCTACATCGTCTACTCACCAATACATTCTATCCCGATGTCTACTTGTCTAGTCACCAACACAATCTATCCTGATGCCCATATCGTCTACACACCAATACAAGCTATCCTGACAGCCATATTGTCTACTCACCAATACAATCTATCCCGATGCCTACATCGTCTACACATCAACACAATCTATCCTGGCGCCGACATCGTCTACTGAACAATACAATCTATCCCAATGTCTACATCGTCTACTGAACAATACAATCTATCCCAAAGCCCACAAAGTCTACTCACCAATACAATCTATCCTGACGGCCATATTGTCTACTGACCAATACAAGCTATTCCAATGCCCACAACGTCTACTCACCAATACAATCTATCCTGATGACTACATCATCTACTCAACAATACAATCTATCCCAATGCCCACAAAGTCTACTCACCAATACAATCTATCCTGACAGCAATATTGTCTACTCACCAATACAATCTATCCCCATGCCAACAAAGTCTACTCACCAATACAATCTATCCTGATGACTACATCATCTACTCAACAATACAATCTCTCCCAATGTCCACAAAGTCTACTCACCAATACAATCTATCCTGACAGCCATATTGTCTACTCACCAATACAATCTATCCCAATGCCCACAAAGTCTACTCACCAATACAATCTATCCTGATGACTACATCATCTACTCAACAATACAATCTATCCCAATGCCCACAAAGTCTACTCACCAATACAATCTATCCTGACATCCATATTGTCTACTCACCATTACAATCTATCCCGATGCCTACATCGTCTACACATCAATACAATCTATCCTGGCGCCGACATCGTCTACTGAACAATACAATCTATCCCGATGTCTATATCGTCTACTGAACAATACAATCTATCCCAATGCCCACAAAGTCTACTCACCAATACAATCTATCCTGACGGCCATATTGTCAACTCACCAATACAATCTATCCCAATGCCCACAACGTCTACTCACCAATACAATCTATCCTGACGGCCATATTGTCTACTCACCAATGCAATCTATCCTGATGCCTATATCGTCTACTCACCAATACAATCTATCCTGACGGCCACATCGTCAACTCACCAATACAATCTATCCCGATGCCCACATCGTCTACTCACCAATACAATCTATCCTGATGGCCACATTGTCTACTCACCAATACAATCTATCCTGACGGCCATATCGTCTAGTCACCAATACAATCTATCCCGATGCCCACATGGTCTACTCACCAATACAATCTATCCTGACGGCCATATTGTCTACTCACCAATACAATCTATCCCGATGCCTACATCATCTACTCACCAATACAATCTATCCTGACGGCCACATCGTCTACTCACCAATACAATCTATCCTGACAGCCACATCATCAACTCACCAATACAATCTATCCTCATGCCCACATCGTCTACTCACCAATAGGGTCTATCCAGATGCCCACATCGTCTACTGCTACTTCCTGTTCCTGAGACTCGAGCGTGGCGTCCACAGTAGCCTCTACATCCTCGTGAAGAGCCTCCGACAATATGGCCGCTGCTTTCTCGTTTCCATCTAGCACTTCCTCTGGAATACAAAATAGGAACAAAGCTATGATAAAGGGTTACATGTGTAATACAAGGTGTTGCATCCTTGGTGTATCATGATCTGCTGCGCCACAACACCAGTATCACGTGGTATCAGGCGATGTATCAATTGTTCTTCGTTGTAGATTTCTTTGTTTGTTGCTAAACACTCAGCATTATTTCAGTTGCAGGAGTGTGGCCGTCAAGTCTGGACAAGGCAATCGTGAGCAGAGATACACTCCATAAGAGTATGACTTGCAATCAACCAAGTCACCGAGCCAGATCTCCCAATGCATTTCAACCAACATAGTGAGTGAGTGAGTGAGTGAGTGAGTGAGTGAGTGAGTGGTAGATTAACTATAGTAATATGAAAGAACTGTGTGTTGTTTTGTAGTGTGAATGCTTCATTTGAAGAAGTTTAAATCATTCAATAATCTGTAAATGTTCTCGTTCAATGGGTCTCGCAGTGGATAATATTTGCACCATTCGTAATTTGTATGTGTATAGGAAGCATTACTTTGCATCCCTGTATATAATATGGTCAAAATGAAAGTACTATTTGACCATGATTCATTAATCTGGAGTGAGTGAGTGAGTGAGTGAGTGAGTGAGTGAGTGAGTGAGTGAGTGAGTGAGTGAGTGAGTGAGTGAGTGAGTGAGTGAGTGAGTGAGTTGGGTTTAACGCCGCTTTTAACAGTAATCACGAGGAAAGCCCAAAGTGATGCAGGTCTCAGACATTTACCAATTCAGTGAAACCCACAAGCACGGGTAAGGTGCTGACTAACCTAGAAACATAACTGGGGCGAACCGGATTCGAACCCACAATCATAGGTTTCTGGCGTGCCCAAGGGACGCAACTCTGCACAGCGAATCGTTGCGCTTTAGACGACTGGGCCACCCGTGCCCCCTCAACCAATCCCCAGAACGGCGCAGCAGAAGCTGGTTAAAGAAACAACAAGCCAATGTGTAGATAAACTGCTGTAGAACTGCTGTACCTGAACACTGTGCAGTTCCCCTCCATACATGGAGAATCTCACCCGAGTGTCTTTTGATATCAAATATATCAACGAGTGTTAATATATTGGATATTAAAAGGCTCTCAGATGAGATTTTATTTATCATCCAACATCATTCTTCCAACTTTTTCAGTTTGTAGACAGTAATAAGCAGTGTCCTAAATGTAAAAAGTACAGTTAACAGCTTCAGTAGCAGAGCCATTAGTGATGGCATTTGATTCTGACATCATGGTAACCAATGACGTCACAATGGTCTGCAAAGCAATGTAGATCTACAACGTAGATATCACTTGATCTCACCCAAGCAATATCTCCTGTGGGAGCCAGTTTTGGATGATAAAGCTGATTATCATACATCATATTATCATACATCATATTATCATACATCATATTATCATACATCATAATCCTGCATGAACCGGTATATATCAATGCATATTTGCTGGTATTTATCTACACCTGCTCAGAGGCCAATATTCATCCCCAAGTAAGAAACAAACGTCATTAGAAAGTCCCACATAGGAATTTAAAATTTCCGAATTCATATAACTTTATACAACGGACAAAATAAAAGGGAACTTGTGAAATGATAGTGAAAGTGTAATGACGATAAATGTCTGAAAAGTTTAATTTGGGCGTGGACATCAAGATCTTTATAATCATATATACAGCAGAGGGCCGGGACCAAAATACCAGTTTGTTATATCTGTCAGTTTGTTATATCTGTCAGTTTGTTATATCTGTCAGTTTGTTATATCCATCAGTTTGTGATATCGGTCAGTTTGTTATATCTGTCAGTTTGTTATATCCATCAGTTTGTTATATCTGTCAGTTTGTTATATCTGTCAGTTTGTTATATCCATCAGTTTGTTATATCGGTCAGTTTGTTATATCTGTCAGTTTGTTATATCCATCAGTTTGTTATATCGGTCAGTTTGTTATATTTGTCAGTTTGTTATATCTGTCAGTTTGTTATATGCGTGTTGTTGTAAACATAGTTTGCTGTATCTGTGAATCGGAGGCCAAACCTTGATTCATCTGTAAACATGGTGTAACGCCATTGGCACACAGGGAGTGCCTGATGTTGTTCAGCCGACCCCAATCTTTGCCGCCTATGGTAAGCTGTTAGGGCCACACCCCACACAAGATGCCGTACTTTCAGGCGGGCTGCATAGAACCGGGATTGAACGGTAGATGTTGAAATTTGCCTTCCTGTTATTGTACAGAGTTCTCTATTGATAACAGATGCATATTTGAATGTGTAGTGCAATTAATGAGTGAGTGAGTGAGTTGTGTTTAACGCTGCTTTTAACAGTATTCCAGTCATATCACGGCGTGTCAGCTTAATGTGGGAGGAAAGCCCGAAGGGATGCAGGTCTCAGACGTTTACCACTTCGGTGAAACCCACAAGCACGGGTATGGTGCTGACAAACCTAGAAACATAATCGGGGCGAACCGGGATTCAAACCCACAGGCAATTGGTTTCCCCATTTGCTTTCCAGGGGCATTAAGCTTAAAGTCCTGGATAAACCAATGATTTCATTTTGTTGTTGTTGTTGTTGTTGTTGTTGTTAATAAACTGAAAGTTCCTAAGCATTTCTTAGTTACAAGCCTCAAGTTGGTTTGGACTGTTCCAAATTAAACATGAAAGTCAAGACATCCTGACTACTGTGATATTCAAGGTATCGCAACAGTCATTTTAAAGCATATGCCAAAGAGATCACAAAGAAAATGTAGGCAAACACATAAATCAAGTTGTTACAATGACGGGTCACCATGAAATTGATTGACTGTTACCATGGTTACTTACAAAGTAAATTGGCTGTTTCCTGTGGGGTTGGCCATAGCTGTACAACCACAGACTGTTACCATAATTACTTACAAAGTAAATTGGCTGTTTCCTGTTGGGTTGGGTATAGCTGTACAACCACAGACTGTTACCATGGTAACTAGGTAAAGAGGCTGTTTCCTGTGGGGTTGGGCATAGCTGTACAACCACAGACTGTTACCATGGTTACTAAGTGAAAGAGGCTGTTTCCTGTGGGAATGGGCATAGATGAAAAAACACAGACTATTACCATGGTTACTAAGTAAAGAGGCTGTTTCCTGTGGGGATGGGCATAGCTGTACAACCACAGACTGTTACCGTGGTTACTAAGTAGAGATGCTGTTTCTTGTGGGGTTGGGCATAGCTGTAAAACCACAGACTGTTACTATGGTTACTAAGTAAAGAGGCTATTTCTGTGGGCATGGGCACAGCTGTACGACAACAGACTGTTACCATGGTTACTTACTAAGTAAAGAGGCTGTTTCTTGTGGTGTTGGGCATAGCTGCACAACCACAGACTGTTACCATGGTTACTTACAAAGTAAATTGGCTGTTTCCTGCGGGGTTGGGCATAGCTGTACAACCACAGACTGTTACCATAGTTACTTACAAAGTAAATTGGCTGTTTCCTGTGGGGTTGGGCATAGCTGTACAACCACAGACTGTTACCATGGTAACTAGGTAAAGAGGCTGTTTCCTGTGGGGTTGGGCATAGCTGTACAACCACAGACTGTTACCATGGTTACTTACTAAGTAAAGAGGCTGTTTCCTGTGGTGTTGGGCATAGCTGTACAACCACAGACTGTTACCATGGTTACTTACTAAGTAAAGAGGCTGTTTCTTGTGGTGTTGGGCATAGCTGCACAACCACAGACTGTTGCCATGGTTACTTACTAAGTGAAGAGGCTGTTTCTTGTGGTGTCGGGCATAGCTGCACAACCACAGACTTCCCTGCTGTGTTGGTGAAACAGTTGCTCTCTTCACCATACACATTCTCCTCCAGACCTGGGAACTGAAACATTAGCAATGGGATAATATTTATATTTCAAATACGAGATACCAGAACATGATCGTCTCAACATGATAGTCTCAACATAGCAATTTACTCAATATCAAAGACTAAAAAATAGTGAAAATGGGTAGTTTTCAATTTGAGAGCAAATTTGGGAGACCTGGTTTATGTTCAAGATAATTACAACAGTCTTTTTGCTAGCCTTCATCTGGTTTTCTTCGGTAGGCCTCATGTTGTAATTATTAATCAGTAAACTTCTTTTTGCTTGCAGGGTCAGAGTACAACTGAATACAACTGTGGGTGCATGAGGGGAGATAACTCTGATCTGTGTCAGGTCATATTGTCATTGTACCTTTAAGCTCAAGTCATGGCGGACCATCTCCTGAATAAGTACGTCTGCAAGTGTCTTGAAATCCTGGACAAATCTATCATTCTTTTCTTTCCCCTCTTTTTCTTGAACCAACAACTGAAGGAGGGTGTTCTCGGCTCGCACGATCCTAGCTACTTTGGCTCCTTTCTCAGCAGCGGCGATCAACGCCGACGTGAAGTCACGCAAGAGCATGTTGGATAAGCTGCCAGAAGAAGTACAAGAACATTTAACAATATCACCACCTTCATCTAGCAGTGGTGATCCTGATGTCTACTTATTATTATTATTTTTAACCTTTCACTTGTGGGATCTTTTTTTTTTTTTCAATCTAAGTCAATCCATAGTTTTCTATGACAACCATGGATACAAGGTTGTATCACTACAGCCATGGATACAAGGTTGTACCACTACAGATATAGATACAAGGTTGTATCACTACAGATATAGATACACGGTTGTATCACTACAGCCATGGATACAAGGTTGTATCACTACAGATATAGATACAAGGTTGTATCACTACAGCCATGGATACAAGGTTGTATCACTACCGATATAGATACAAGGTTGTATCACTACAGCCATGGATACAAGGTTGTATCACTACAGCCATGGATACAAGGTTGTATTACTACAGATATAGATACAAGGTTGTATCACTACAGCCATGGATACAAGGTTGTATCACTACAGATTGGGATACAAGGTTGTATCACTACAGCCATGGATACAAGGTTGTATCACTACAGCCATGGATACAAGGTTGTATCACTACAGATATAGATACATAGAGGTTATCACGCAAGTGTGATTGGGAATGGTATACATCCTGCATTAGTAATAAACATTGTATTTAGCAAGCCTTGGCGAGCTAAATACATTGTGTTTATTCCTAATACAGGATATTTACCATCCCTAAACACACAAGCGTGATAACCTCTTTATCATATAATGTCATTCTTCAATTCTGTGCTTGAAAATCGCTTCCCCTCACTCACAAACATTACCTAAACATTGCGAGTTTTCCTGGAATGCGTGCATTAATATTTATTACGTAACAGGGTAAGTGATGTGTCAGTCGGACAGTGACAGTAGCCAATTTAGTTCCAAATAAAATCTGTTTCTTATACAGTGGCGAAGCAACACATATGCAAAACAACAATTGTTTTTACTTGCCTTTCGCGGCAATCCATCGGTCTGTCCGCTAGAGCAGCTGCCCTTTGTCAAAGGGAAGCTACTCTAACCCTAGTCTATGAGACGTCACGGCCACGTTCAGACGTTGTTGACAGTCGGTCTGTCCTGTCATAACGTTAAGTGTAGTCAGACGTACACACAGCGACTAAACGAAACAAGGTAACAATTCAAACATATTTCGGCCAAATCCAACTATTTTAATTTGTAGAAAAGATTTCAAGCACAGATATGGCTACTGATCCTGCTTGGCTAGGGCTAGTGCCCTCGCAAAATTGTTTCGAAATTCATATCTCCAAAGTTGCCAAAACTTATAAAATGTCTTATCTACGTCACAGTTAGACACTGATTTTCAGTATATTAGACTGTTCTTTTGATAATGATAGAATTGTCCCTTTAGTTTATCCAGATTCCCGATGGTTAATTCTGACTCGATCGCCGAATGACAAGGGCGACGCCATGTTTGTTTATAAACACTGAAAGTAGTCCCTACTTGACCTTTGATATTTGCATCTCTATCCGCATATGACCCCAACGGATATCATTTTTATCCGTTGGTTTTATCCTGCCGAGAAACCTACCCATTATATGATAAAAGGCTGTATCACTACAGATATAGATACAAGGTTGTATCACTACAGCCATGGATACAAGGTTGTATCACTACAGATATTGATACAAGGTTGTATCACTACAGATATAGATACAAGGTTGTATCACTACAGCCATGGATACAAGGTTGTATCACTACAGATATAGATACAAGGTTGTATCACTACAGCCATGGATACATATTTTGTCAAAGTGGAAACACTCCATTCTTCAGAATACCTGCATTAATAGGCACACAAATGTCCATCTGTAGCCATATTCTCTGTCATCCAAAAAACAAAAATAATTTCAAAATAATTTCAACTTGACATTGTCTGGGATATCAATAGCATATTTCAGTATCAACATGATCAAATCTCCTGTTGTTTAGGATAAAACTAGAAGTTATTGGGCAAAGAATAGGAACAAAAAATTGAAAAAGCACTAATCAATGTATGGAAAATATGTAAGATAGTACATTTGCCATTTTGCTCAATGTTAGGTTTCAATAAACTGTATGTATATAACCAACTCCTGAACATGTCATATTTCAAAACCAAAATTACTGCCATGAAAACCAAATTTAACTCTGAATGGACACTTAAAAAACATTGGAGAGACCACAGAAAGAAAAGATGGAAGCAATTCTGGAAGACAGGCTTGTGGCCAACTTGTTAAACTGCAACCTGTTTTCATTTTTTAAAAATACGTAATATAACAAAACAAAATGGATCTAGATCGGTCCTTTTGGGTATTAATAGATGTGCTTTTGACCTGATCTTATGTTACTAGTGCTTGGATTTAACATGGAGTCATATTCACTTTTAATTTTCAGTCATATATACTGTTGGGTAAACCAACAAATTTAGATGAATTACATGAAAATTCACAAGCATCAACCTCTTTACGAAGATAAGATACGGTGTGCAATATTTAGACAGGTAGAGAGAAAAAAATCTGTCACATTTGTCTACTTAGCCAACGCGTCTGTCCGTACCCGTATGTTGGGAGTTCCGGTACAAGGGAACAAGCTCATGTGGGACTGCACTTGTTCTTGGTGATAAGATAAACTCTGCCGCTCACACACCCGGAAGCAATGTACGCCGACTGCGATATGGGGATTAAACTCGATGTATTTAGCTCCCGCCAAATGTTTTCACCTGAAACCTGACGTGTCCTGCGACTACGTATGTAACCTGACAACACCCTGTATTTTTTTAACATATCAAAAACCCTCCAAGGCCAATAAATGTGTAAATCATTTGTAAAAGTCGGAAATCAGCACTTGTGATTGACAAGTGCTTGCGCAATACGTCATACAGGTGTAATACGTCAGCAATATATGTGTGCTGAGTCCTATGTATTGTGGCTATTCGTTAGCTCCATATCCGAAAACGTTTAAAATTTGTAAACGAGTTATACCAGATTTGTAGGTCAATAATGACTGCAAGTGACAGAAGGAGATGGCGCTGGACTAGGAATAGACTTCATGATGTACCCATGTATGGAACCGAACCCGGCTCTCCGGCGAGGCTTGTTGTGAGAGGCGACTAACGGGATCGGGCGGCCAGGCTCCCTGGCTTGGTTGACGCATGTCATCGTGTCCAAATTGCGTGGATCGATGCTTATAATGTCAATCACTGGATTTTCTGGTCCAGACTCGATTAATTACAGACCGGCGTCATATAGCTGGACTATTGCTGAGTGCGGCGTTAAACAACAAACTAGGCGACTTCACTGCAACTTTATGCCGTAAAGTTTATCAGGGTATGTGGATATAAGACATTCAAAAAGATAAAAAAGAAAAGTAAAAAAGTCGCTCATCTTTCTTCTAAGTCACAAGAACTACAATCTCCGGAGGAAAAACTGAAATCTGTTGTCGTGAGTGAGTGAGTTGGGTTTAACAACGCTTTTAACAGTATTCCAGTTATATCACGGCGTGTCAGCTTAATGTTGGAGGAAAGTCTCAAGTGATGCAGGTCTTAGACGTTTACCACTTCGGTGAAACCCACGAGCACAGGTATGGTGCTGACAAACCTAGAAACATAATCGGGGCGAACCGGGATTCGAACCCACAATCATAAGTTTCTGGCGTGTCCAAGGGACGCAACTCTGCACAGCGAAACGCGGCGCCTTAGACGACTGGGCCACCCGTGCCCCCACAACCGAGAAATGACTTGGAGCGTAAAGACAATGAAATACAAGACCTTCGTGACACAATTTATGGACAACAACTTCTTTATTTACTGTAAAGGCGACGTCCCGGTATAGATCCTTATACATTTATAAGCGAGCACGTGCCATTGATGGAAAGATTGACTGTATTAGCTCCCGAAAGAAACTAGTTCATGTATTCTCAAGCTGTGAACAATTTCAATGAAGTCAGACAATTTAAACAAGACTCTAAAAACAAAGGAGACAACAATGAACAGTTACCCAAGCCCACCTCCAACCCGACGTCTGAGCCCAACTCTAACCCTGCGCCCAAGTCTCAGTGTCGGACCGACCATGACAAAAGGTAACACATGTTATATTTGGGATAACACTTTCTTTGTGAAGGGACTGCACTCCTGGTCTAGTGGTAGAGCGTCCGCCCGGAGAGCGGATGGTCCGGGGTTCGATCACCAAGACGTTAAAAGATGGTATACTTGCTCTTACCCTGTCTGGCGCTCAGCATTAAGGGGCTAAAGCAAGGACTGGTCGGTTCGGAGTCAGTAAACTGTGTCTGAGTGGGGTATTCATGTTAAAACTGCGGCTTTAGTCCGGACTAGTACAAGCAGACACACACACACACACACACACACACACACACACGCACGCATGTACGTCGCTATATAAGTGCAATAGTTTGGGACGTGACTTTAAACACCATTTCACCACACCTTGGTAAAGTCGTACACAAAGTGCGCGTTCTCGACTACCAGTTGTCGCACTTTCACTTTGTGGAAGCCTCTGTGGCTGAGTGGGTTAGATCGCTGACTTTGTGTGCTGGCGATTAGGTGCCTCACTCTGGCAGTGTGGGTTCGAATCCCGGAAGGTACTCAACATAAATAAGTACTAGAATCTGTCAATCTCATTAAAATCAGATCTCAGTTCTCGCTACCGCTAAACAAAGATCCGAGGACATCCCATTACGGGTCACGTCAGACCGACCTTGCGCGAACTTTGACCGACCAATGGAATGACCAATCAGAAGGCAGCTTTCTCGTGCTTTACGGCACTAATTTCAAATTGGCGACTACGCTTCGAAACATATTTTGACAAATTCTCGATTACAAGTTTGAAACCTAAACAAAAGAACATTCTGGAATGGCTAATATATAGTCTAGATTGTATGGATTCAGTCGTTAAACCCGTAACTATCGTTCGGAGTTAAAGTTTTCGAGGTTGCATGATTAGAAATCACATTCCGACTGTCACTTTCATAATCTGGTAAGCGATGCTCTGATTGGTCGGATGAAAGGTCGTTCTGACGTGACCCCTAATGGGATGTCCTCAGATCTTTGCTTAGCGGTAGCGAGAACTGAGGTCTGATTTTAATGAGATTGAGAATCTGTAAACTTTGCTATGAAAGTATTATCCCAAATATAACATTTGTCACATTTGACCGCTTTCTAAATGGCATTGTGTGTTCATGACAAAATGTGACAACAATAACCTATGCGATAAAGCCGATAATGGATTATCACCACATGAGGTGTACAGCCAATCAAATAACGACCCGCCAAGGTCAATTGGGAGTGGAAAAGAGTCTTCTCGTGGACTTCTCGATTTAATAATAAGAGACTAGTGCTTTCTCATGTTAGAGCTGTCCAGCCTTTTCATACGGGCAAGGATGCCATCGCTGCCTGTGCGAACGTACGAGGTGTATCAGTCAGCTGTATCAAACTATTGAAACACTGGGAAGGAGGTAACCCCACACACACACTTTACGTATCAATGTCCCCAACCAATGTGCAAAGGTGATAGACCCGTGACGATCCTGGGTAGAATAGGTCTTCTGCAACCCATACTTGCCGTAAAAGGCGACGATGCTTGTCGAAAGAGGCGACTAACGGGAACTAATGTTCCTACGTAAAGGCGCCTGGTGCAGGGCGTTGGTAGATATGCGATGGGGGTAAGGGGACACCCCGCCCTGGACCAGCTCCTGAAAATGCTAGCAAAATGTAGCGACTGCTTTTACATTTTACTAGCCATACATGACGATCCAGTAATCGGCATCACAGACTGATACCTCAATGGAAGCATTTTCAGGAGCTGGACCTGGTCCAGTGTGGAATGTCCCCGCACCCCATCGCCTATACTGGAACGTCTCTTGTCAGCACACCGTGTCGTAAACATATACTTCTCGTAAAACAACTGACAGGCAACAAGCCGACATAGCTCGGTTACCATCTACTCACGTACTATAGACAGCGTGTACCTCGAACAACTTCATTAGGTTATGGAACTATACTATATTTACTCACGACAGGGACAAGTAATTATCCTCGGTGATTTTATTCCGGACTTAGCCACAGTCAATTTGCGTACTGGACCCAAATACCTTCAAAGAGTGCTCGAAGAGAGAAATCTATTCTCTGTAGTACCTTTAGATGAAACTTCTATACATACTTCACAAACAAATGTAAAGTGTCAGTACAATGATTGATTATGTCTTTGTTAACATTGATTATCTACCAAATGTCATCAGATAGGCTATATACGGCTGTATCATACACTATTTCGGATCAATTGACAATTGATCTGTCTGTATTAGAAATGATGAGCCACGTGTCTCTTCCTGATGAAGTGTGGACTCAGAGGCGATATTGGGTAGCGAATGGCATCGAATCAGGTGAGCGCCTTGATTAAAACACGAAAAGAGTTGTAAAATCTCTGTTTACGCCAAATTGGCGGTACTCATGATTTCCGAATCCTGCAAGCGACCGAAATCTGCACAGCAGTTTACCCATGTGGCCATAGGAACCCGGGCCTTCGGCGTGACGAGCGCACGCTTTAACCACTAGGCTACTCACACACACACGCGCACACACACACACACACACACACACACACACACACACACGCCAAACCGCCAAACAACAACACACACCTTAAAGGGAGATTTCTGCGATTTCGGAGTTCAAGACAATGTAATTAATGCTGTATTTTAAACTGATCCACTGTATCTGTGTAATTGGGGAAATCATTGGCTGCTTTGAACTGGCAGACAATCAAGGCGTTTTCAGGGAACTTGAATCAAACTGGCTGGGACTGCCGAATGGCCCAAGCTTAAACCCCCTTTAAACCTTAACCCCTTCTTCTTTATGCAGCCTTTCACACATAACATTACATTGTTGGACAGTGCCTTACGTTCCGCGAACACTACTATATTTGGCGTTGCTACCCTGTGAACTATATTTAATATTTTCCAGCAGTGGATGCTTGCCATGATTCCCCATGGTTTTAGTACAACTATTAACATTCTTCCCCCACTGATCAAGACCGCCTCCGTGGTCTAGTGGTAGAGCGTCCGCCCGGAGAGCGGAAGGTCCGGGGTTCGATCCCCGGCCGCGTCATACCAAAAGACGTTAAAAGATGGTACTTGTTGTTACCCTGTCTGGCGCTCGGTATTAAAAGGCTAAAACAAGGACTGGTCGGCTCGGAGTCAGTATACTGTGTCTGAATGGGGAATTCATGTTAAACTGCGGCATGGTATCTCAGTGTGCTAGCACTATAAATCGGCATCAGTCCGGTCTAGTACAAGCAGCCACACAAACACACACACGTACATGCACGTCGCTATATAAGTGCAATAATCTTGGACGCGACGTCAAACCCCATTTGACCTCACCTTCCACTGATCAACTCTCCGGTTGGATATGAGAAAAAAATGAAGATTTTACAGAGCCCGGGGAGACTCTGAAAGAACCACATGTACAAGTAAGTGATTTTTGCACTAACTTCTCTTCTTCTTTTCCTTATATACCACAAAAAGAAGAAGTTAAAGAACACCCAGTTGTTTTCATATGACAAAATATACCATATGTATGTCTGTCTTGTTTGTTGTTTAACGCCGCAATCAACACTATTCCAGCTATATGACGGCGGTCTGTTAATAATCTAGTCAGGGCCAGACAATCCAGTGACTGATATCATGAGCATCGATCCACGCTATTGACATGTATCAACCAAGTCAGCGAGTCTGATCACCCGATCCCGTTTGTCGCTTTTTACGGCAAGCATGGGTTGCTGAAGACCAATTCTACCCCGGATCTTCACGGGTCTAATATTCTTGTAGTATTATTATATACATTATTGAGTTAAATTATTTTTTTTAAAAAGACTAACCGTTTAACCAAATCGATTTACGAGATTTGATATTTTAAACATTTTGCTTTTCCAGTATTCATTATGAGAGCGAATATTGCTTATTGCTTACGCCACATCTGCAATCTTAACGTGCTATTCGCGAAACGTCGCATTCATTGTAGTAAAGACGTTGAATATTCATAGAACTATCTCCCTTCTTCATCATACCAACTTAAAATGCCACTAAAGGTTTGTTTGTTTGTTTGTTTTTGTAAGTGATGTCGAATAATCGAAACTCTCAGTCATGTGTCACATACTCTGGTTATATCATATACTGGTATAATACATATTGATTTCTTTCCGCTATAACTGATCCACATTTACAATCCAAATGTGTACCGTTTTAAGCAAAGTTGCAATTGCTTCTGCAACGTAAAATGTTTGTTTGTTCCTAGTCAATTTTCGCTGCCCTGAACGCAACATTAGCCTATTCCCACAATGCACTGCTTCATCGCTAGGGCTTATGGCGTTTTGGCAATGTACAAAAATTCCTCGTGCAGTAATCTCTCAAATCACGACATTTGTCGTCACATCTGAATTTCAAAATGATGAAATCGTGAAAAAAAAAGAGTTCAGAAAATATTTCTTCAATTATTTTTCACTAATATTTGTGAAAATAGTTAAACAGCGGTTATAAACATTGTTGTGCTGAGACAGCATATTGGATTCAAAAGTTAATGAAATCTCGTTAAACAGAACCGTATTCAAAGGACTGAACCGAAGTCGATATAATCATCTTATTTCAATTAATAATGACGACGGAATTTAACCTTTTTTGCGAAATCTAAAGTCCAACTTCCCCCTTCGTTTGCCTGTAAAGTTTCACATTGTTACAACCAGTTGACGACTAGGCTTCTGTCCGCCATTGTTGGCCCAGTGGCTCGCCTCGGACGATGTGAATATGTCGAGGCAGAAACGGAGAGGAAAACATGCCAGCCCATTTTATGACGACGAATATGATGCCAGATCATATGCCCATTTAGTTCCTACTCAGCAAGGCAATTACAAGAAGAAAAAGAAGAAGTCACGGCACAAGCAGTCAAGAGAAAGGGAAGAGAAGAAAAGTGCACCTGTCCCAAAGCCATCACTCGTAGCCTCGAGTTACGATGATATTAGGTAAATATGTGTGTTGTAGCCTAAGTACACATGTTGTGTAATGTAATGCAATCTCTGAGATTTTACCAAGTTAACGAGAAAACCCATATTTAAGCTTATTCTTGTTAAGTTGTAGACTCTCATCGATAAAGGTCAAGGTCACTAGAAACAGTTCACGTGGATATTTGCCATGTGAAATATTGTGGACCTATAGTATAATACGCTTTCAACGAATGACACTACGTCACAAACGAGCTTGATGTACCGCAAAATTGTCGAAATATTTGTTCTCATATTTGTAATTAATGCATTGTCAGTATTTGAAAAATAAAAAGCAATTCCAAAGCCACCGTTTCTTGGTGACTTGGCCTTGTGTGTTAAATATTAAAAGAACAATGCATCTCATAAGCATGATAAGCTCATCCCAGATCTTCAAATTTTGATTTGAATTCCATTTGAAACTATGGGCCATTATGTAACTAGTATAAAACAGTTTGATTTATACTAATACCTTGTGCTTGTTAGTGAATGTTATTGCCAATAGTTGCGAAGATAATATCAGCTCAGTGGGGATTCAGATTAGAATAGGTCCTCAGCAACCTATGCTGGTCATAAGATATAGTTTGGGTTGTAAAACCAGTGTTCGAAATACCTGCCTGCCCGACCGTCTGAGGCGGGTTGATTTCAACCTGCCAGATTTTCAAATCCCCCTGCCCAACGGTCGGGTTATATTTCATATGTGAAAATATTCTAAATATTTCCCGATAATAAGCATTAATTCACATGTAAAGATGAATGATAAAATGTAACCAAAAAGAAACCCCGTTAGCTTATCCTGAGAAACATATGATTATAGTGGGCAGGCAGGTTTTGGTCAGGGCTGGCAAGTATTTCAGCTAGCCAGTCCTGTGGTCTGGCTGAAATTTTTGGGAGTTTCATACCCTGGTAAAACTCGTTGATTTAGTTATGTGTCATCATATGTCGTGGATGGTTGCTCATAATATTACAGGCCACTGTCATATGACTGGTATATTGCTAAGTGCAGTGTTTGCAACCAACGAACAATAAGACTAAGAGTATATAAGTTAATGTAAAGTATTAAGATGGGTGCAAGTGCTGAAGTGTTTCAAAAGTAATAATCTCACGACCATAGTTGAGCCCTGACCTGGAATGTCCAGGGAAAGATGTTTGTTGTTTAACGCCACACTCCGCAATTAACGCCACACTCCGCAATATTCCAGCTAGAAGACGGCAGTCTGTAAATAATCGAGTCTGGGCCAGACAATCCAGTGATTGACATCATGAGCATGGATCCACACAATTGGGATACGATGACATGCATCAACCAGGTCAACGAGCTTGACCACCCGATCCTGTTAGTCGCCTCTTGCTACAAGCATAGTCGCCTGAAGACCTTTTCTACCCCAGATCTTCACGAGTTAGGGAAAGATGTGAATGATAATGTCTGTGGTTATTGTTTCTACAGGGTCACACAAATGCTGATAAGTTTTGACCAAGTGCATGTAAAAAATATTCAAACTTTGTGTTAGCCTAACCCTTACTTGTCCACACAACATCAATCTTTGAACATGTTGAACACATTCAATACCTCTAAGGTATATTTACCATAATACATCACTAAGCTCTTTGCTATGTGTAATTTGTCATGCATTTGTCATCTTCCCGAGGCAAGAGAGTTAACTGACTTTAAAAGTCCAATTTCCACCCTTGCCGAACTAGGCTGGAATTCCTGGGCTCAAAAGTAGTGCCACCAGTGGCTTTTACGAGTTATGTCCTTTCTATGCCTCTCCTATTGACCAATCAGATTCAACATCTCGTATCACTTGCATTTGCTTCAAACAAAACGTTGGCGCCCAGTCAAGATGATCTGATTGATAATCAAGATCTATATTGTGATAAAACGAGTCTTACATCACGAAGTGCATCAAATCACGTGAGCACCTTGATTAAAAGCATGAAAAGATTTAGAAAATATCTGTTGACAACGAGTTAGCGATGCACATGCTTTGCAAATCCTGCAGTCAACTGAAATCTGCATGACAGTTTACGAACCGGATTTCGATTTCGGTGCGCGATTTTGATTCGACTATGCATAGACTCGTTAGTCCAGCCAAAATGTAACTCCATAATACCAGCCTAGTTCGGCAAGTGTGGAAACTGGACTTTTATAGTCAGTTAACTCCCTTGCCTCGGGAAGATGGCTTTTGTGGGCTTGACATCAAACTGTGGGGACTTGAAGATTATGTGCCTGTTACCCTAACAGCAGGATGTCATTAATTTGTGTGACACTGTCTGCAGACCGGCCTATGTTTCAAACTTGATTAATTTATGGGAGCTAGGGTGCAATCAGGTTTTTTCGGTGCAATTGGGTTTTCATGTCACCATGCACTGGGTACAGGTTAGATAAAGTTCCTTAAATCGATCCCTTATCTAGCTATGTCCTTACCATGTCCTGTTCATCTGTTCTTGTTCTCTTGTCGCTGCTATGGCCTACAAATCAACCAGTTTGTGAGGTTTCAGTGTGTGCTGTAGTGTAGAGCAGGGATCTGTTCTTCTTTTCCAACAACTTGAAGAAGCCTGAGTTACTGGGGACCAGTTATAACCCGGAATCCCTGTTGTACGAGGTGATGTTGTAAACTGAGTGGTCGGGCTTCGTGACTTGTTTGATTGCGGAACATCATAACCCAGTAGGGGTGAAACTATACACCAGTGCATTGTTAGTTTTCATGCGACGATGCGGTACATTTTCTTCTGTATCGATACAAGACGATACACTTGCTTAAATATATCGTTTAGTGAACCCCAGCAATTTTGTCAGTCAAATATTACAAAATGTGTTGTAATTAGCGTTCCATATTCACTGCTGAAAATAGCAGCTATGAACATGTTTACAGCTAGCTTTTCCTGAAGAACATGCTCCGAAATATTTATAGTCAAGAAGTTTCCATGCAATTTGATGTAAATATGTGTATCGCGATATGTATCATATTTTTACCTATGTATCAAGATACGTATCGCATTGTGACCTTGCTGCATCACTTCACCCCTATAACCCAGTAGCGTGGGATGTTGCTCATAATATCAATGGACCCGCGAAGATCCGGGGTAGAATAGGTCTTCAGCAACCCATGCTTGCCGTAAAAGGCAACTATCAGGATCGGGGGTCATGCTCGTTGACTCGTTTGATGCACATGATGCATGTCATTGTATCCAAATTGCGTGGATCGATGCTCATGATGTCAATCACTGGATTGTCTGGTCCAGACTCGATTATTTATAGGCATTGGCATTGGCATCTAGCTGGAACATCACTTTGTGTGACATTGAACAAGAAACATTGAACAAGAAACATTGAATGTAGCCATATGGTTCCTGACTGATAAAACATAGGAGCTAGTCAAGAGGTTGTTGCTATCATCAACCATGTTTAACTCAAATGACATTAATGTAGCGTGTTTACACTCATTCTTACAGTATTATACAATCAGCATTTCGTTTGTGAGTGAGTATGGTTTTACATCGCTTTTAGCAATATCCCAGCACTATGACGACGAGGGACACCAGAAATAGACTTCACACGTTGTACCCATGTGGGGAATTGAACCCTGGTCTTCAGCCTGACGAGTCAACGCTTTAACCACTATTCTACGCAACCACCTCATTTTTTTGTGAACGGGGTATGGTAATGTTAGTCTAAATTTGTTGTCAGGTCAGAATATTTCAACCTTTGTAGTCAGCTGTTCGCTAATAATGAGAACATAGGGACAATGAAAAACTGTTCACATATGATATATACACCAGCTAATGAAATATATAAGAGAATATAATCAATTGATTGCCATGAGTCGAGATAAATACAAAGTTAGTAGGAAGTCACAGAGCTCCTGATATCTTTTTGAGCAATTGAGTGTTTACGCGAAGTTTGCTATTTTAATTGGTGTTATTACATTTTTCATTGGGTGACCAATATGTTTTCATTCATCTATTCATCATTCTATTGTGTTTTTCCCCAAATGAGTGAACATTTTAAGATTAAAAAAAATAAATAATGTTTTAGATGTATATTACGGTTATAATAATATAGGATTGACTCAGAAAGTAAATTAGCTCGTAATTGTGTTTCGGAAATAGCTCTTTTGTACGCATGCTGAAAAATCTTCATTGGGTATTTGCGTGCTGTTTTCATACATTTGAGTCTTTCATTTAATGCATCTGTTTCTGTACGCAAGTTAACTGAAAGTAATTGAGTTTTGAATATTTTGGGGGGTACTTTACGCAAATACACTGCTTATCTGTAGCTCTGAAGTCAGTTATGCCTTACACTTCATTCTTTGAACCTTTTAACTGCAGAAATATTTTTGTCGGATACTTTGGGTGTGCATTCCTTTGGTTTTAACTACTTCAGTAGACTTCAGTTATGTGGTGTGGGCCGTTTGTTTATTATGGAGGCATGGTCAATCTTTCATAATAAAAGACTCCCAACAGCAGGGATGGAAAGTAACCGAGAACATCTAACCCGATTATTGGTAACAAAATGTTTGAAATGGCACTAACCCTTGGACACCTTGGATAACATCAACAAAACTGATCCGGGCTAATGCTAGTTCCCATCCCTGAACTGTATTCTACTGAAAATGATGCTTAGCATTATTTAGGCTTGTAGACTTGACAGTTCATGTGCACAGTCTATGTATCTCATCCTGAAAGTTTTCATCATTTGACCATGCCTTCAAATACCATCACACTCTTTGACTTTAGCCGCCAGTCCGAACCATGATTCAAGTTCACTTCTGTTCGGTCTAGTGAGCTCAGAAATATTGGTCCAAATAATATCACTAAAATCAACTTTAACTGATGCAAAGAGCCAAGGCCAGTCTAGTAGCCTCTAAATTCTTTTCATCGACTGCCCTCAGATTTTTATAGGGGTGGTGGGATAGCCTGGTGATTAAAGCATTCGCTTAACAAACTGAAGACCAGGGTTCAATTCCCCACATGTGTACAATGTGTGAAGCACATTTCTGTCGTCCCTCGCTATGATATTGCTGGAATATTGCTAAAGCGGCGTAAAACCATACTCGCTGAGTTTTGTGACTTTTGAAGATCCGGGTAGAGTGTAAGTCTTCAGCAACCCATGCTTATAACAGGGTTAGAAACTAACAGTTTTTGTCAACTAGTCCTTATAATGATAACACACAGCAAAACCCTTAAAACAGGCTAATTTCTACTAGTCCTTAGGATACCTTTACTATTGGGCAGTTTGGTAAGGACTACAGGACTAGTGCCAATTTCTAATGCTGTTGTAAGAGGCGACTATGCTTGTGAGTGGTGACTAATGGGATCGGATGGTCAGGCTCGCTGAGTTGATGCATGGTTGATGCCCATGATGTCAATCACTGGATTGCCTGATCCAGATTCGATTATTTACAGACAACCTTTAATGGCTTTATATAACTGAATATTGCTGAGTGTGGCTTTTAACAACAAACTAACGAACACTGAATTTTATGTTCATTTAGTTTAGGTACTGACTAAATATGTTACTGTTTCAGTTCGGATTCTGAAGTTGAGTTATCGAAACGAGCAGCAAGATCTCCCGGTAGAGTTGGTCCTAGTCGAGTGTCCGATAGAGAACGGTCCCGTGGGGGCCGTGCGGAATCCCCAGCCACAGCAATACGTGCATACCTCAACGACAGGAGTCAGAGTAACTCTCCAGTTATGAGGGAGGAAAGTCCTCCTTATACGAGCTCTTCAGCTCGAAAAACAAATAAAAGACCTAGGAACTATTCCCCAGAAAAGGTGCGTGAATCATCGAGAAGCTACCGCGAGCCGAGTGTGAAGCACCAGGAGCACCCTAAAGCTTATTCTGGGGACATGCCCAAGGCATTTAGTGGAGGGGGGGCATATAGTGGTGGTCGCGGTGGGGACTACAGCCCCAAGAACACAAGCAAGCGGTATCGGTCACGAAGTCCCAGCCCATACAGCAATGCAAGATATGATCGTCGGGAGAGAAGCCCCCCAAGGTTAGTTTTTTTATGAAGATCTGATTTGAATAGATGTTTTTGTGGGTTTGTTAGATTTTCTGTGATAAATTGTAATATATTGATGTCTCATCGAGTTATTTCGTTTGTTTTTCCCTATTAAAATTTTATTTGATTGTATGGAAAGATTATTTTGTATTGTCATTCATGAGCTGTAAGCTGAGTAATATGAGGTCGACTAAGATAAGTCAGATAAAGACTGATGCATGTTTGGTAATGTAGTGTCACTTGTTCTGGTGGTCATGTGTTTGTCAACGATGATGTGGACGAAATGTACGCAGGTGTGTGTCTTGATATTGTGTACCAAGGGAGGTAATCCATCTTTGTTTGATGTTTTATAATCATGTGATGTTGTACAGTGCTTTTGTCCATTACAGGGAGTACAGTAAGAAACAACATAGTCATGAAAGTAAAGTTGGAGGACTTTCTAGGTGGGTCTAGACATTGCCTCCACAGTGTGGCTTTAACATTAAGTCTCTTCTAGAAACATGGTAGTAAAGCTACCTATGGCTGCCTGTCTGAGTGTTGATATTAATATTCCTTCAGGGAAGAAATTAACCTACTTCGCTGTATATTGATAGGCTAGGAACATCGTCAAAATGATGCCTTTATTATTAGTTTTGTTGTTTGTTGTTTAACGCCGCACTCAGCAATATTCCAGCTATATGACGGCGATCTGTAAATAATCGGGTCTGGGCCAGACAATCCAGTAATTGATATCCATGCAATTTGGATACGATGACATGCATCAACCAAGTCTGTGAGCCTGACCAACCGATCCCGTAAGTCCTTTGTTATTAGTGAAACTGGCTTGTGCTACCGCTTATATCTTTCACTGCTTCCCATCAACCAGGTGTGTGGGTAAGCCTGAGGTGGAATCTTTCTGGTCATGTTGGATACTCCACGTGATGAAGTCAATGTCTTTGTGTTGTAGCTTGAATAATGCTAGATGCAGTCTGCAGCTTTAACCAATAGCCCAAAACCCTCGTCTAGAAAAATTGTATTCAGTCAACCCGATGTGGGGACAGTTCAGCTAATTATAGCCCACCTGATAACCTGTCTACTTTTACTGATGCAAAGAGCCAAGTTCATGCTGGAATGCTGAACAGTTTTTGGCACAGACTATAAACATGTTTGAAAACCTCTCTGAACATGCTTAAGGCCATATAAGTAAAATACTGTATTAGGCACACCCGGACCAACTTCTACATCAATCTATAAGCAGTCTTTACAATAGTGCCCTGTGAAAATGAACCTGCTAGTCCATGTTTTCTTGTGTGTATTATAGTTTGTTTTACAGAAAAGACTCCCAGACATTTAGGCATATATTTCACTGGTCTATATTGACCTTGGCGTGGATATGGTGATCACTTCTGAACTGTAGAAAGAAGGCAGAAACAGATGAATTGACGTTCCTGAGAAATGAATGCCTACATATAAGAAATGTGGATTTTGGAACTCTAAGCTATTTCCAATACTAACACACTATGCTTCTAAAACTGCTGTGTTTTACTTCTCAAATAATCAGGAATATACTGGACAATTATGACGTAGTTTCGATGCTAAATGGTTGCTTGAAGGTACAAACATAAATTGTCTGATAGATGTTCATTAGTATTTCAAATCGCGGTATACCAGTCATATGGGACACTTCTTCTTACTCAGCATTCGCCTACTGAAGGAGCAAGAAGTAGCTCTGAAACGTTGTGACAAAGAATAAAAGAAGTTGCCCTTCATAATAAGTGTCATGTATTCATGTTTTTCCAACTTCTAAATGTCTATCAATGACTTCACCCTTACTTGGCAATTGTTCTTTGAATACACTCAATACCACTCAAGTTTATTTACCATACTACATCACAAATCTTTGTTACATGTAGTTTGTAATGCTTTCTCAGGGACTCGTGATGAGCCGGGTTAGAATAGGTCTTCAGCAACCCTTGCTTGTTTTATGAGGCGACTATGCTTATTGTAAGGGGCAACTAATGGGATGGGGTGGTCAGTTTCGCTGATTTGCATGGATCAGTGCTCATGATATCAATCACTGGATTGTCTGGTCCAGACTCGATTATTTACAGACCACCGTCATATTGCTGGAGAATGGCTGAGTGAGGATTTAAACTTAAAACAAATAAACAAATTTTTTTAGGCTTGACATCAACAAACTCTGCATACTTCTACATGTTTAAGGGGGGCACGGGTGGCCCAGTCATCTAAGGCGGAGCGATTCGCTGTGCAGAGTTACGTCCCTTGGGCATGCCAGAAACCTATGATTGTGGGTTCGAATCCTGGTTTGGCCAAATTATGTTTCTAGGTTTGTCAGCACCATACCCGTGCTCGTGGGTTTCACCGAAGTAGTAAACGTCTCAGACCTGCATCACTTCGGGCTTTCCTCCCACATTCAGCTGACACGCCGCGATATAACTGGAATACTGTTAAAAGCGACGTTAAACCCAACTCACTCACTCACATGTTTAAGATTATGAGCACATGTTTATATGACCAGAGACTGTAAAATAAATGTATAATTAATTTGTGACACCGACAGTCCTATGTATCATCTTTAATAAATTCATCTGTCTATGTTGCAACCTGGTTTTGTTTGGTGCAACTTGGTTTTCATGTCAACATGCGCCTGGTGGAGGTTAAAATTAAGTTCCTTTAGTCAAATCCTGGTATGTTAATTGCTTAATTGGTCATAGATGTTTCTGGTCGGCGTGACTGTCTGGCTGAGCATGTTAATCAGTCATTGTCAATGAAGCTGTTTACAATCCAGAGAGATATGTTTGTGGGTGTAAGATGTGTTCCTTGCCACATGTCAAACTGTGATATAAACATTAGGCTAACAAGTACACTGGATCAACACTCAGGAAATAATTAATTTGACAGTAGGCTGAACATAAGGGTATTCTATGGTAATCCTGAATGGTATCAATCTCAAAGAAAAGGAAGGAGACTGTTTTTTTTATTATCTAGCACATGAAATGATATTCACCGAGGTCAGAGATGGATCAAAGTCACTGTTTTTGTTGCCACATGTGCGTTCCAAAGGGCGCGTATTAACGTCTTTGTCAGTCCCTCCTGTGGTATTCTTTCCCTGTTAATGTTTTTTTATCAGCAACTCGTGCTTGCCCTAACACTGGTCTAAAGGGACTGGGTGGTCAGTTGACTGGGTTGTACGTCATTGTATCCCGATGTTCATGACGTCAATCACTGGATTGTCTGGTTCAGGCTTGATTATTTACAGACTGCCGTCATATAGCTGGAATATTGCTGAGTTTCTATCTGTAGTAAGACTTCTTCCAAACTGAAATTTCGATATCAATATTCCTTTTGGTCCAATACAACTCATATCTCATTTTTGGAGGTCTTGGTAAAAAAATATGAAATATCCCCGCAAAGTGTTTCAAATAGTGAGTCTGTGACTTTGATCAATAGTCCAAATCGCATGTGTGGAAAATTTGTTTGATCTAGTAAGCTCAGCTAATAATAATCAAGTTTTCAGATTTGTCAATTTTCTAAGATATAGACTGAAAATCCAAAATGTCCTGCAAATTTGGTAATGATATAAATAAATATCCTATTGAAAGCATAAAATCATGTAAATGTCCTCAGAGCTACAGATAAGCTTTTGGTGTTGTGGGTATTTTACCCATGCATCTTAAAATCATTGGGTATCAGTAATTTTATCTGGGTATTCAAATTTCTGTTACCCACTAGTTTTTACACATGGGTATTTAAGTTAAATATTTAAAAACACTATTCATCTAGTCCCTGCAAACTGTTGTCATGTGGGTTCGAGAGCTTTATAGGACTCAAAAATACCGCGATAGTTCCACAAGAAAGTGTGATGGCAAATGATCATGATGTAACTGTCATCGTGGAGTTTGGCAAGGTTGACGGAATGTCCGTATATAATTTCAAAATAAGTTGCTGATTTGCTAATCGAATACGCAGGGTGACTTCACAATATTTTGATGATACGCACTAGTTTTATTTTTGTAGCGTATCTGTAATGTTCGTTGCGTATTTGATACGCTTGAATTATATTTCACTGCGTTTTTCTGCATTTCTGATGCGTATTTTACGCAGATACGCAGCTTATCTGGAGCTCTGGTCCTATTTCTATTTGTCCCTGTTTTCAAAGAATGCTTAGAGCCAGAGAATGGGCAAGTCTGCTCAAATTTCTTTTATACAGACTAATGCGTTATGAAAGCATAAGTTGTCCATGTGTCATAACTGGTTCATGCTTAAATTATATTATTTGTATTGGCAGAAAACACAAGTCGTCGAGACGGTCTCAGGATCGGGGTCTCAGCCCACCATCTCGGTATTCCACCAAGAAACACAACAGTCGTTCTAAGGCATACAGCAGTCATTCCTACAGGAGGGACTCCGTCAGTCCCTCCCCTAGTCCATCACGAAGTGGCTCTTCTTATTCCAACAACAGAAACAATCCACAAATTGAATATGCCTCAAGCTTAGCCGCTGAGTTGAGTAAGCATAAGCGAGCACGTGAAAATAGACGGTCGCGTAATGACAGGCCGATGCCATCAGATGTGAAAGTGAATCGTAGTGAGAGTCCAATAGTCATTCCGTCATCTCCTCCGGAACAGATGCCTAAATCTAGACATTCAATAACGCCACCTCCAAAGAAGCCAGAACGAGCTTTAGGACAGATAGAGGAAAACATTGTGATAAAAGTAGAGAATATTAAACGAGGTAGTGAGCATATTGAAGAGCGGCGTGTTGTGGAAGAGAGGAGGAGTGATAGGCTGGAGATGAGGTTAGATGAGAGGAGTGTACGGATGCCAAACCCGGAGGAGAACCGCCGCGCGTACCACCCAGGATCACTTACAAGGCTCCCCATGCCTCAGCTGTCTCCAGAAGACAGCGAGAGTGAGCGTGAGCGCAGTCGTAGTAGGAGTCCTTTCAGGTTTGTACATGCTAGCCCCCGTGAAGATCAGGGTTAGAATTGGTCTGCATCAACCCATGCTTGTATCCCCCTGTGAAGATTTGGGTTAGAATTCGTCTTCAGCAACCCATGCTTTTTGTAAACACGCTGCCTTTGATGCATGTCATTGTATCCCTATTACGTAGATCGATTATTAATTAGGCAATCACTGGTTTGTCTGGTCCAGACTTTAATATTTACAGACTTGCGTCATGTAGCTGTAATACTGCCGAGTATAGAACCAAAAGAAATTGTACATGCTAGGTTTCGTAGCCAGATATATAGTGTCTCTAGATATAGACAGTAAATTGTCAATAGTCTGGACCCTGTTAATCAAGAGACCCGCCTCGGCAGGAGTTGGGGGTGGTCGGGTAGTCAGGTTTTACTATACTTGGTACAATATGTTTTAAAAGTTTGTAGGAATACAGCATTCCTACCTGATGATACGACCATAGTCTGTTCTCTTTATTGTCAACTAGCAATGAGAGATCATCTTAGCTATTGATTTTACACAAGTCCCAAACTGTGGCCAGGGACCTCTGTGATCCAGAACTGTGGCCAGGGACCCATGTTGTCGAGAACTGTGGCCAGGGACCTCTGTGATTCAGAACTGTGGTCAGGGATCTCTGTGATCCAGAACTGTGGTCAGGGACCTCTGTAATCCAGAACTGTGGCTAGGGATCTCTGTAATCCAGAACTGTGGCTAGGGATCTCTGTGATCCAGAACTGTGTCCGAGGACCTCTGTAATCCAGAACTGTGGCCAGGGATCTCTGTGATCCAGAACTGTGGCCAGGGATCTCTGTGATCCAGAACTGTGGCCAGGGATCTCTGTGATCCAGAACTGTGGCCAGGGACCTCTGTGATCCAGAACTGTGGCCAGGGACCTCTGTGATCCAGAACTGTGGCCAGGGACCTCTGTGATCCAGAACTGTGGTCAGGGATCTCTGTGATCCAGAACTGTGGCCAGGGACCTCTGTGATCCAGAACTGTGGTCAGGGATCTCTGTGATCCAGAACTGTGGCCAGGGACCTCTGTGATCCAGAACTGTGGCCAGGGATCTCTGTGATCCAGAACTGTGGCCAGGGATCTCTGTGATCCAGAACTGTGGCCAGGGACCTCTGTGATCCAGAACTGTGGCCAGGGACCTCTGTGATCCAGAACTGTGGCCAGGGACCTCTGTGATCCAGAACTGTGGTCAGGGATCTCTGTGATCCAGAACTGTGGCCAGGGACCTCTGTGATCCAGAACTGTGGTCAGGGATCTCTGTGATCCAGAACTGTGGCCAGGGACCTCTGTAATCCAGAACTGTGGCCAGGGATCTCTGTGATCCAGAACTGTGGTCAGGGACCCCTGTGATCCAGAACTGTGGTCAGGGACCCCTGTGATCCAGAACTGTGGTCAGGGACCTCTGTGATCCAGAACTGTGGTCAGGGACCCGTGATCCAGAACTGTGGCCAGGGACCTCTGTTGTCCCGAACTGTGGCCAGGGACCTCTGTTGTCCCAAACTGTGGCCAGGGACCTCTGTGATCCAGAACTGTGGACAGGGACCTCTGTGATCCAGAACTGTGGCCAGGGACCTCTGTTGTCCCAAACTGTGGTCAGGGACCTCTGTGATCCAGAACTGTGGCCAGGGACCTCTGTTGTCCTAAACTGTGGTCAGGGACCTCTGTGATCCAGAACTGTGGCCAGGGACCTCTGTTGTCCAGAACTGTGGACAGGGACCTCTGTTGTCCCGAACTGTGGCCAGGGACCTCTGTTGTCCCGAACTGTGGACAGGGACCTCTGTTGTCCCGAACTGTGGTCAGGGACCTCTGTGATCCCGAACTGGGGCCAGGGACCTCTGTTGTCCCAAACTGTGGACAGGGACCTCTGTTGTCCCAAACTGTTGCCAGGGACCCCTGTTGTCCCAAACTGTGGCCAGGGTCCTCTGTTGTTCCGAACTGTGGTCAGGGACCTCTGTGATCCAGAACTGTGGTCAGGGACCCCTGTTGTCCAGAACTGTTGCCAGGGACCTCGGTTGTCCAGAACTGTGACCAGGGACCCCCGTTGTCCAGAACTGTTGCCAGGGACCCAGGGACCCAGGGTCTCCAGGGGACCATCCCAGACTATGTTTCTCAGAACTGGCTAGATTCACTGATTGGGAGAACTGAAGTTGACCACAAATGACATTTACATTTTATGATTAACTTGTCATATTATGATTATTTTCATTTTCCTCAGTTTGTCTGTCCCTCCCTCCAAGGGGGATTTTTTTTCTCTAAAATGATTTGAGTCAGAGAAAATGACATTTTACACACTGATGTTAACAGTCTTGATCTCAAATGAGTTCCAAAATTGGTGTTGTAAATTCCTTGTTGAGTTGTGGCCCTTGCTCCGTGCTTTTCAACTTAGTGCATACTGTATGAAATGGAGACAATTTCTCAGAAACTACTGAAGTTACATGAATGAAAGTTTGCATGCTTGACTAAGAGATACTTGTAAAGACCTAGTTCAAAAATGGGTGCCCTAAATTATACAGAGATACTGCCCTTGATCCATGTTCTTTTAGACCCACTAAGGTCCTGGGCCCCGTTCCTCAAAGCGATCTTAACACTACGATGATTGTAAGCCTATGTTAAAGTATGGGACTTACGATCACCTTAGCGCTATGATCGCTTTGAGGAACGGGGCCCAGGGTAGAATAGGTCTTCAGCAACCCATGCTTGCTGAAAAGCCGACTATGCTTGTCGTAAGAGACGACTAATTGGATCTGGTGGTCAGACTCGCTGACTTGGTTGAAGCATGTCATCGTATCCGAATTGAGTGGATCGATGCTCATGATATCAATCACTGGATTGTCTGGTCTAGACTCGATTATTTACAGACAGCCGTCATATAGCTGGAATATTGCTGAGTGCGGCGTAAAACAACAAACAAACAAACCAACCATGTTATTTTACTTGGTGCATAGTTTCTGCAATGGGGACAAGTTTTCTCAGAAACTACTGAAGTTTATTTAAGAGATACTTATCAAGACTGAGTTATTTTTCCCCCGAGAAGGGGCCTTTTATGTGCATTAGTTTCACATTTAGTCATTTTTTCTGATGACATAAAGTTGCCCAAGTCCTTATCTCTTAAGGCTTTATAGGACTCTACAGTTTATATTCACTACTATATGAGCAAACAAAATTCTAATGTGCCCATAGCAGGAGATAGTGATCACGCTATTTTTCTTTGTTACATGCGTTTTAGCTTGTCAAATGTGACTCTGGATTTTTGGATGATAAAATACTTTCTTCCATCTTACGCAGTGAGAGGAGGCTGACACCACCTCCCCCGCGTCCACGGGGCATATCAGATCTCCCGATGCCACCCGGTATGGATGAAAACTTCCAAGATGATGATGCAGACATGGACATCGAGCAGGAGGATGATTCAAAACCTGATGATGCACCCGCGAAATTTAAAAGGCCGAGGTGAGAGAGTTCTTAAAAATTGATTTTGATTTGAAATTATCCTATTTATGTGGTAAGGATGTCGGGGTCATGTTTCTTGTAAACCTGGTTCATGTAAAATAGATCTGTGGATAGGTATAAAAAATACCATGTTTGTCCCTGGGAACCTATTCGGATCAGAAAGGTTCCCAGCACCCATGGTTGTCCCCGTGGAGATTCCATATCAGAATCGGTTCCCAGCACTCATACCCATCACTGTGGAAATAACAGATCCACATAGTTTCTCAATCCCCCATGCTTGTCCCTGTGGAGATTACAACCTTAGCGTTACTACTGTTGTAAGTCTGTGTTAAGGTATGGGTGTTATGATCACCTAAGCACTAAGACTTTTAAAAACGCCACCCTGAATAGGTTCCCAGCACCCCCTGCTTTTCCCCGTGGAGATGACAGATCAGTATAGGTTCCCAGCACCCCATGCTTGTCCCTGTGGAGATAACAGATCACAATAGGTTCCCAGCACCCCATGCTTGTCCCCGTGGAGATGACAGATCAGTATAGGTTCCCAGCACCCCATGCTTGTCCCTGTGGAGATGACAGATCAGTATAGGTTCCCAGCACCCCATGCTTGTCCCCGTGGAAATGACAGATCAGTATAGGTTCCCAGCACCCCATGCTTGTCCCCGTGGAGATGACAGATCAGAATAGGTTCCCAGCACCCCATGCTTGTTCCTGTGGAGATAACGGATCACTATAGGTTCCCAGCACCCCATGCTTGTCCCCATGGAGATGACAGATCAGTATAGGTTCCCAGCACCCCATGCTTGTCCCTCTCAAGATAACAGATCAGTAGTCCCCAGCACCCTATGCTTGTCCCTCTCAAGATAACAGATCAGTAGTCCCCAGCACCTCATGCTTGTCCCCATGGAGATAACCGATCAGAATAGGTTCCCAGCTCCCCATGCTTGTCCCTGTGGAGATAACCGTTTAGAATAGGTTCCCAGCACCCCATGCTTGTCCCTGTGGAGATAACAGATCAGTAGTCCCCAGCACCCCATGCTTGTCCCTGTGGAGATAACTGATCAGAATAGGTTCCCAGCACCCCATGCTTGTCCCCGTGGAGATGACGGATCAGTAGTCCCCAGCACCCCATGCTTGTCCTGTGGAGATGACGGATCAGTAGTCCCAAGCACCCCATGCTTGTCCCGTGGAGATGACAGATCAGCATAGGTTCCCAGCACCCCATGCTTGTCCCTGTGGAGATGACAGATCAGAATAGGTTCCCAGCACCCTGTGCTTGTCCCCGTGGAGATATGATCATGTTTCAGACTGACTGAATGAGGAAGTATGACCATGATAATTGAAGAAATAATAACTATGTTTCAGGCTGTGTCTACAGCGGCGGACAGATGACAGAATCAAGGGAGATTGGGGAGAGAGGAGCGTGGACCTCTTCAAGATACTAGAGATCATTGGGGAGGGGACCTATGGCCAAGTGTATAAAGCCAAGGACAGATTCACAGGTACATGGTACAAAATGACCACAACACCATTAACATGGAAGGGGGCAGACTACACACATGCTGCAATAATCTTGGACGCGACGTTCAACCCCATTTCACCTCACCCCACCCTAGATTAAAGAACAGTAGCAGAACTTGATGATCCCCCCCCCCCCCCCGCCCCCCTTAATTTGTAAATGATTAGGGGCATTGAATGAAATGCTATGCCAAAAATGTGTCCCGTGTTTTTTGTTTTGTCAACATGTTGGGTACCCAGATCCAGTAAATAATATTGACTCTGTTGCAGATGACTTTGTGGCATTGAAGAAAGTGCGTCTAGAGAATGAGAAGGAAGGGTTTCCTATCACAGCTGTCCGAGAAATCAAGATTCTGAGACAGCTGCAGCATCCGAACATTGTCAACTTAAAGGAGATAGTGACAGACAAGCAAGATGTTCTTGACTTCAAGAAAGATAAAGGTTTGTGTCTTATGCTATATGGCAATTAGGAGTCCCTGGGTTGTGCAGAGTTGCATCCCTTAAGTATGCCAGGATCTTTTTATCAGGATTTTGAATAATGTTTTATCCCACATTCAACTGATGCGCCGTGAAATACTGCTCGAAGATGTATTTACACATCTCAGTCATTCTCTAGCTTACTGTTACTTGGACTCCGTGCTGATTCTGGGTCCTCAACCTATGCTGGTTGTAAGAGGTGACAAAATGGATCGATGACCTGCTTGACAGCATGTCATCGAATCCCGAGGTGTGGTACAACAAATTTTTGTGACTGCAAATTTGTTAAAATCTGATGATTTCCCCCAAATACACCTCCAAAATATGGACCATGCTCCATTGCAATGAAGTTTCAGCTGAAAAGGAAATATCCATTCTCATCCCTTCATATGGCTGGAATATTGGAATTTTGCCGAGGTCTGCGTTAAACAAGAAACATCGGTTGCACGGAACTAGAACCCATTCAACCCTGGGCAGAACGTGTTCCCAGTATCCCATCCAGTACCTCTTAAATCTGACTACCCGTGAAGATTCCGAGGTAGAATAGGTCTTCAGCAACCCATGCTTGCCGTAAAAGGTGACTATGCTTGTCGTAAAAGGCGATAATGCTTGTCGTAAAAGGCGACTAACGGGATTGGGTGGTCAGGCTCGCTGACTTGGTTGATGCATATCATCGATCCCAATTGCGTGGATCGATGCTCATGATATCAATCACTGGATTGTCTGGTCCAGACTCGATTATTTTACAGACCACCGTCATATAGCTGGAATAATGCTGAGTGTGGCGTTAAACAACCAACCAACCAACCAACCAACCTCATAAATCTGACTGAAATGAGGACCAGGTGGTCACAGTTTGATTGTGTTTCACAGTACCCTGTTGTCATGGATAATTGTAAATGCCCTTTGTCTTGCCAGATTCTTTCATTCTTTGTCTGATCCTAGCATGTATCATAAACAGGGATGGATATAACAAAGAACGTCTATTAGTCCGAACAGTGATAACATACAGCAATACCCCAAAATGGATTTCTTGTTGCCCTTTGGATACATTTAAGATTAACAAGTGGTGCAGGCTAGCGGGCATGTGCTAATTGCCATCCCTGAATAAACAAGGAGTGTGTGGTGAGAGTCATTATGCCTTCTATTTTGAAGTTTTAGACATTCTGAAATGTCTGAGTTTCCCTTGCAGGTGCCTTCTATCTGGTGTTTGAATATATGGACCATGATCTCATGGGCCTGCTGGAGTCAGGCTTCGTCACCTTCAAAGAAGAAAATATAGCATCATTTATGAAGCAACTTTTGTATGGTTTAGATTATTGTCATAGAAAGAATTTTCTTCACAGAGATATAAAGTGTTCGAACATTTTGCTGAATAACAGGTAAGTGATCTTCTTTCTTGACTTCAAACATTTATTCATTGAAAAAGCATGATGAAATACTTCAAGAATTTACAAAAAAGAATGTAATATGGGTATCTTTAAATTAAATTGCTGATACTGATATTGTGTTTTTGTGTCAGTGTAGTTGTGTATCATTGGTAACAACAGAGTGGATATTTGTTCATGCTGGTTTCCCATTGTCAGCTGTCATTTATAGCTGTCACTGATTGTTAGACAACACTCCCTGCAAATCATTGGCTTGTTCTACCAAAGATCTGCCTTTTGTTCTTCCCGTAGTACAATGTATGTATGCAGTCTCACCTGTATCCACTCGTCCAAAGCCTTTCTAATTTTTTATGGCCTGGCGAGATCTGCTTGTACTAGTCCATAATCTAAGACAACTATTTACTGAAAATCATGCCAAAGTACAAGTTCGGGCAAGTAAAGTCAAAAGTTCCTTACAGACTGTATGTAAGTATTCTGGTGTTCCTCACACGTTGCTGGAAGTACACCTAAAACTATGCTCAGTGTGACCAAGAATATGGTTAACAACAATAGGTTAACAACTATATAGCATCTGTCTCTTCCAAGTAAATAATGTAGTCATGTGTTCCTTCCCTTATGAAAACATCTCCCCAATGGTTAAATTGTCGTTACCTGTGGAAATACACATAACCTCACCAGCAGTGTGTCATCAGTGTCAGCTGTTGGAACATAGAACTGATGCTGTGTGTTTTGACAGAGGCCAGATCAAGTTGGGAGATCTGGGTCTGGCTCGCTACTACCATGCCGACGACCGTGATCGCCTCTACACAAACAAGGTGATCACGTTGTGGTACCGCCCGCCGGAGTTGCTCCTAGGAGAGGAAAGATATGGTCCACCCGTTGATGTTTGGAGTTTGGGGTGAGTTCACATCCCACTCCCGTGCACGTGATCGCGGGAATTACGTGTTGACATAGAATCGTCGAACAAAAACAAATATGACTTTTAACCAGTCACAGTATGGCATTTATGATATATGTATCCATTCTCACTTCACACACGATTTTCACTGAAATTAATTAAAACAATAGCAAAAGGAATTTTGAATAAAATTAATAAAATAAGTTACAAACAGAAGTCCAGATATACAAAGAACACTTTTTATAGCCAGACAGTGTAATTACATGACTAATTTGCGTACTTCAGTATGGATTTGTTGACATGGTATTTCCGGTGTTACGCACTCATGGTTATGTCTTTCCATGGGGGGGGGGCGGTCGGGTAGCCTAGTGGTTAAAGCGTTCGCTTGTGACGCCGAAGACCCGGGTTCGATTCCCGACGTGGGTACATTGTGTGAAGCCCATTTCTGGTGTCCCCCGCCGTGATATTGCTGGAATATTGCTAAAAGCGGCGTAAAACCATACTCACTCACTCACTCACTTTCCATGGGGGAAAACACCCCCTTCTACACAGCTGTGTTTTTTTAGAAAAAAAAGCGCACTATACTCAAGAAAATACGGTATGTGGAGGTGATGGGCAGACCAGGTTTCACCATTGGCTCAAGCCAAAAACCAGTTTTGATGCCCCACATGGTTACAATGTATGAAACTGTAGCCATCGTGTCTGAAATATTGCTAATGTCAATGCTCCATGCTTTGAGCAATTTCAGTTTGTGACATGGCATGACAGATTAACTACAGTTAGTAATTTGGTGTTTTAACTACTTTTGAGAAGAATTATTGGAATACCAACTCAATTTGGTCCCTTCCATATCTTAATCATATGAAATTTGTTAATCCTGATATTTGGCCCCAAATGTGTGACTAAAGTCTGTAAAATTAAAAATTCCAAACTTTTGAACATTTTCCCAATTCAGTCATATCTTCATTTTGCGAACCTGGCTGTTTCACCAATAACCAATGTTAAAGATAACAACATGTTAATCTTCAAAATGTTAAGTGAATAGATGAATTAAAAAAGTACACGTGTTTAAGGCGGCTTCATACTTGATGAAGTTACAGAAGTACCATCCTGTTTGAAGCCTCAGAACTGCCAACAAGCTACAACTATTTGCTTCAAATTTCAAATTAAAGTCTTTTGTTTCCCCGATTTCTTTCCTATTCTGCACCAAAGTTATCAAATCAAGCTAGAAAACCAGTCTCTTCAGGAAGTGTACTGCAGAACTCCTCTGTAGCACTATGAGCAACTGTGAGACTGATGGCATGATGTATATTTCAGGTGTATCCTGGGTGAACTGTTCACACGTAAGCCGATCTTCGCGGCAGTGCAGGAGTTTGCCCAGCTTGAGCTGATCAGCAAGACATGTGGCTCCCCATGTCCCGCCAACTGGCCGGATGTCATCAAGTTGCCGCTCTTCCATACATTCAAGCCAAAGAGACAGTACCGGCGAAGGCTCAGGGAGGAGTTTTCCTTGTAAGTACTGTAGAAGGAACCTCGGGGTCGGGTGAAACGGGGTTTACCTTCATGTTGAAGATTACTGCACTTGCATAGCGACATGCGTGTGTTTGGCTGCTTGTACATGTCTGGACTTATGCCCCGATTCGCTGTGCAGAGTTGCGTCCCTTGGGCATGCCAGAAACCTATGATTGTGGGTTCGAATCCCGGTTCGCCCCAGTTATGTTTCTAGGTTTGTCAGCACCATACCCCTGCTCGTGGGTTTCACCGAAGTGGTAAACGTCTTAGACCTGCGTCACTTCGGGCTTTCCTCCCACATTAAGCTGACACGCCGTGATATAACTGGAATAATGTTAAAAGCGGCGTTAAACCCAACTCACTCACTCACTCTAGCCAGTTTTAAAGTGCTTGCCCACTGAGATACCATGCTGCAGTTTAGCGTGGATACCCCACTCAGACACATACCAACTCCGATACGGCTAGTCATTATTTTATCCCCTTAATGCTGAGCATCATATTTGGTCGTATCTTTTTCATTGTGCACATTTAGACAATATTGTGTTTGTAAATTTAGTAATTATGTTAATACAGACATTTTGGTGATGCACTTGTGTGATGTGGAAGCATGACTTACTCCAACCTGAAGTGTTAAAAACTAAGGGAGTCCTTAACTTTTGCTGCTTCGAATCTAAGTACCCATTAAATATTATCCCCTGGACTTTCATGCTTACATTTGAACACTGAAACATTCAGCAAGGAGGACCTTGTCATGAAGAAAACAGAACTTTGCCAGTTTTAGAGTACTTATGCCCTGTTACGTTGTGTTCCAGCATCCCAAAGGCAGCTCTGGACCTGATGGACCATATGTTGGAGCTGGACCCATCGCGGCGCTGTACCGCGGAGCAGGGACTACAGTGTCCCTGGCTCAGAGACATCAATCCTGCTGCCATACCCCCTCCAGAGTGAGTACCCCAACTCAGTATTTGTCATGGGCATCATTGCATCACCCAATAACTTACTAGCATGATGGGGTGTCATTGCATCACACAATTACTTACTAGCATGATGGGGTGTCATTGCATCACACAATTACTTCATGGCATTTTAGGGTGTCATTGCATCACAATAACTGAATGGCATGATGGGGTGTCATTGCATCACAATTACTTAATGGGGTGTCATTGCATCACACAATAACTTACTAGCATGATGGGGTGTCATTGCATCACCCAATTACTTCATGGCATTTTAGGGTGTCATTGCATCACAATTACTGAATGGCATGATGGGGTGTCATTGCATCACAATTACTGAATGGCATTGTGGGGTGTCATTGCATCACCCAATTACTTCATGGCATGATGGAGTGTCATTGCATCACCCAATTACTTCATGGCATGATGGGGTGTCATTGCATCACAATTACTTAATGGGGTGTCATTGCATCACACAATTACTTACTAGCATGATGGGGTGTCATTGCATCACACAATTACTTCATGGCATTTTAGGGTGTCATTGCATCACAATTACTGAATGGCATGATGGGGTGTCATTGCATCACAATTACTGAATGGCATTGTGGGGTGTCATTGCATCACCCAATTACTTCATGGCATGATGGGGTGTCATTGCATCACCCAATTACTTCATGGCATGATGGGGTGTCATTGCATCACCCAATTACTTACTAGCATGATGGGGTGTCATTGCATCACCCAATTACTTCATGGCATGATGGGGTGTCATTGCATCACACAATTACTTACTAGCATGATGGGATGTCATTGCATCACACAATTACTTACTAGCATGATGGGATGTCATTGCATCACACAATTACTGAATGGCATGATGGGGTGTCATTGCATCACACAATTACTTAATGGCATGATGGGATGTCATTGCATCACACAATTACTTCATGGCATGATGGGGTGTCATTGCATCACAATTACTTCATGGCATGATGGGGTGTCATTGCATCACACAATTACTTAATGGCATGATGGGATGTCATTGCATCACACAATTACTTCATGGCATAATGGGGTGTCATTGCATCACAATTACTTCATGGCATGATAGGGTGTCATTGCATCACAATTACTTCATGGTATCACAATTACTGAATGGCATGATGGGATGTCATTGCATCACACAATTACTTCATGGCCTGATGGGGCATCATTGCATCCCACAATTACTTCATGGCATGATGGGGCATCATTGCATCACACAATTACTTAATGGCATTATGGGGCATCATTGCATCACACAATTACTTAATGGCATTATGGGGTGTCATTGCATCACACAATTACTTAATGGCATGATGGGGTGTCATTGCATCACACAATTACTTCATGGCATGATGGGGTGTCATTGCATCACACAATTACTTAATGGGGTGTCATTGCATCACAATATCGATGCTCATGATATCAATCACTGGATTGTCTGGTCCAGACTCGATTATTTATACAGACTGCCATCATATTGCTGGAGTGTGGCTTTAAACAACAACCAAACGAAAAACATTGCATCACGATACATAATGTCATGTTTTGACTGCATCATCTGATCACATAACAAAGTTCTCAAAATATTAAGTGAACAAAAGAATTGCCTCACAATACCTGTTTCCTGGACCAGTGTTTCCATTGTACTGTTAGGTTGCAAACTGTCAGTTTTGAAAATATTTTGGGGTTTAAAAATATTTTGGGGTTTAAAAATATTTTATTGACAAAAACTAAATTGAGCCATTTACTAATTTCTCACTTCTCTTTAGGGTTGCTCATGTGGGCTGTAACTTATGTACTTTTGTTCTTCAGCTTGCCAAGAGACCAGGATTGCCACGAACTGTGGTGCAAGACAAGAAAGAAACAGTTACGAGAACAGCAGCGCAAGGAACAGGAACAAGGCGGACCCGTCTCCAAGAACAGCACACCCCAGCAACCACCGCGGCAGGAGAGAGGAGGAAGAGACACAAGTAGTTCCCAGAGATCAGCAGATTCAGGGCGAGGGGACCGACGCACATCTGTCAGTGATAGCAAGTCTACAAGTTTGTTTGGCAACAATAGCTCAACCAAAGACCAACACAGTATTCCCGGATTGGATGCGGCTGGTAAGGACAAAAACTCTGGCGCCGGGGACGCTCTGCCTGCCATGGAGCGGCAGAGCTCTCTGGAGGCTAACAAAGTGAATGCAGCCAATCTGGCGCAACTGATTCAGCTTGCACAAGGAGAAATCAGTGTATCACAGATAGCAAAAAGCTTGAACATTACTGTGGATCAACAGACATCTCAGCTGTTGGATAATCTGAAGCAACAGCTTCTCATGGCCGCACCACCTCAGAGTAAACAGGGTTTGGGTGGTTCGAATCCGAACTCCCAGGGGTATGGTTCACAACCTGTTGACATGTATGACCAGGCAGGTGCAGGGCCTGGGGCTGCTTATGGAAGTGGGTACAATTCCGGTGGGGGCTCCTCTACATTCGTGTCCCAGACCTCCGTCGAGGAGAAAACCTCTTCCGATAAGAATGCAGGGGTAAAGGCAGCACTAGCTCAACTTCTTGCCGAACAGGGAATAGGGGTGGTGGCTGGGTCGAAGGTGATGGGGGGTAGTGATTCTGACAGTAGTGGTGGGGCAGGGGGTTACAGGTCGGTCAAGAGCTCATTTGGGGCTTCGGAGTCCGGGCATGGGTACAGCAGCCAGGGCTATGGCTATAATGTTCCCAAGTCGACAGCGCCAGGAATGACAACAGACACTCATAAGACTGATGCCCAGGGCAGGAGCACGATGGCGGCCGTCACAAGCACGACCATGTCTACAGGTGGGCCCCCCATTCACAAACAGTACAGCTACGGGTCGGATGATTCAAAGGGAAGTGCAACAAGTGAAAGTTATGGCTACGGATCACAAGGCCCTCCTCCCACTCAGCAGGGGATGGATGGTACCGGGAGTTCGATCAAGGCGAAAGTTCAAGGTTACTTTGACCAGTACAAGGCACCGCCCCCAGGAATCCCCCCGCCAGGTAGTGGCATGCCCCTTCCTCCTCCAGGCTTCAGTCGAAGTGGGTACTCCGTCCCCCCTCCCGGACAGAGCGTCCGTCACTCTAACCAAGGTGCTGGAAACATGCAATCAGGGCCTGCACCGATGATGCAAAACTACCCAGGGCCCCAGGGACAGTATAATCCTGGTCAGAGCGGCTGGAGATAGTACAGACGACCCCGCCACAACTGTTATTCCATGGCAAGGCAACTGGAGTTGATTGTCAATGTTTTGGGGGTCATCTTTTGTTAGATGAATATTGAGTATTATGATTCTTAACTTAAGAATAAGTCAGGGAATGGTTGCTTGAGATGAGTTAATTTTTGAGGATATATGTTCAGTCTGATGACAGTACCATGATTTGTACATATGAGATTTTTACTGTTTACATGGTTTAGGTATATGTTGATACTCTGCTCATAGCCAGCGTCCCAACAGTCTCTGGCTGTCTTTGATGAAAAGGCTGCAAGGCCATTACTGTCACTGCATCTCAAATCATTTTGTGCAAATAATTCAGAATTAGGTTTGTCCTCATTCTGATGTCACTGATCTGTACACATCAGGAAGAATAACACACCTGCAGTTTATACAACTATGAACGAATCCCATTGACTGCAGACACTTTTTTTGTGAACAATTAGTCCTGCGACATAGGACCGTGTTTACTGTGTCATTGATGATGGTCTTTTTCATGCTGTCGGTCGATGACATGCGTTCAGCTGTCAAGCATATTCAACAGTTGATCTACACGTTTATGTGAAGGAAAATATTTCTCAAAGTTCTTCATACAAGAGACACAATCTGTAAAATGACCATTATATTTTGCTGGTTGTTTGGCTCGGTCTGACATGTCTTAGGTTTGCAGACCTAGTACAGACATTCGTGCCAAGAATTAATCAATGAACAGTTCACCATGCTTTGATCACGAAATGAAAAGTGTTTTACAGAGGTTGAATGTACATTTGTTGGACATGTACATGAGTTGTCCTGCATTGCTTCAAGTGCTGCAGTCTCTTCTCCTGTACCATGGTTCCAGATCAGTAAAAAAGCGACAACCTTGAGTAAGTTTTTCCAGATATTTGGCTTAGTTTCATAAGCCACTAGTCTGAAATGAGTTGTAAACTTGTTGGGCTCAACACTCGGTGTTGATCCTGTATCAAACCTGTTCTCTATCGAAAGAATGTATGTGATATGACTTGGGTATCATTTGCTACCCTTCAATTTTCTCTGATCATTAATGTCGGTGGTGAAATTGCACTGACATATAAACAATTATGTATCTTTTATGTAGTGTTACAGCTTTGTTTCTTACTTTGCTCCGAGTTATGTTGAAGCACTAAGATACACTCCCATGGAGGCAATAGTCACTTCGGTCCTCTTCCATCATAGAATTTACTTAGTGTTTGAAATTAAGCATGAAAGTAATGGGTCCTTATATGACGCTTATTATAATAATTGATTACTGGGGTCACTAGAACCAATACTACAGTACTACACATCAAGGAACCCAGAGCCCCTCTTAATTTTCTGACAGTGCAAAGAAGTTGTAATTCAGACAACCTGTTGAGATTGAAATGGATCAAATTTGACAGAAGCGTGATTCATCTATAATGAAGAGATTGTTTCAATTCAAAAATGATTATTTCATGGGAAGTTTCTTGTATGTTTATGATGAGCTGAATCTTATTGGTACGTCTGCTACATAATCAAAGAATAATGAGTTCCTGATAACAAGTTTTTTAGATTCAGCTCTGTTTGAATGGTGCGCTCTTCATTTTCATGGGCTTTTCTTGTGCATTGTACATTCAAACCTCCAGTTTCAAATATTTAGACAAAAAATAATCAAATTAAGAGTATAATTGAATTATTTGGACAAGCCTTGAAAGTTCATCTAAGCAATAGATCATGTTGGTAAACACTTGATGTGATATGGAAATGGTTAGTTTTATGTCTTTTATAAATTGTGTTGGCTGCTTTGAGTATTCATTTCAGTAAGACTCGCTCTGTTCGCTGTCAGTTTGCCATGCTTTGGTGAACGATGTCACGTGATTGGTGTCTGTCAATTATTACTCGGTGACATTGTACTATTAAGCAATTGAATAAAAACATACTTGTCAGAATTGCGTTGGTGGTTTTTATGAATTAATTTTTAATTTGTATTTGCTATTTACTCTTACCCACATTATTTTCGTGCTTGTGAAATTTTGTAGATCAGAAATAATGTCCGATTGTTACAGTCTTTGGTCAAGTGAGTTAAATGATTGAGATTAAGTTGTTATATTATTACCATGCTGTATGTTTTTTGTGCAGATTATGATTTGTCACTTTTCATATGCATTGTTTAAACATTTGTGGGTATCTTGATTTTGTTTATGTAATATGTGAATGATATGTGAATGTGTCTGAACATGTTCTTATGTTTTGGTCATCGGTTTCCAAGTTACTTAAGACGGAGTTACCTCCCTTAGTGGTGCAGGATCTGTTATTCATCTGTTTGTGCCTGTGGCATCCATCAAAGTTGTATCAACCGGCATCACTTGGGATTGTTTTTACTTTTCACTTTCCAGTTAGGCTGACGTGATTTTGAAAATACTGTTTCAAACTTGTTGCAACTCTGATTGATTCTTTTTTTTTTTACCCCTGGGATTCTAATCAAGTAGGTTTAGGTGTCTTTCAATGAGTGATAACAGGTTACACTGTCATCCGAAAGAAAAATGGGATACCCTGTGGGGATTCCGAGTAATAATAGGTACTCTGCAGCTTATCTTGGTAAACGAGGCCACTGTATGGATCGGATGGTCAGGTTCAGATGGCATGGGTTGTTGCTCACAATATCACTCACTGGTTTGTCTGGTCCAGACTTGATTATTTATTTATTTATTTATTTATTTGCCATAAAAGGCAACGCTGCTTGTCGTAAGAGGCGACTAACGGGATCGGGTGGTCAGGCTCGCTGACTTGGTTGCTGCATGTCATTGATCCCAATTGCGTGGATCGATGCTCATGATGTCAATCACGGGATTGTGTGGTCCAGACTCGATTATTTACAGACTGCCATCATATAGCTGGAATATTGCTGAGTGTGGCGTTTAACAACAAACAGTGGTTTAGGGCACACAACTCACCAAGCTCCTTCCCAGCGCGTGACACCTTCGTTACACTCTCGGTAACATCGCTGCCACCAGTGTGGGTGTGGCCGTTAAAAGAATCTTGAGATTTGCCCTCTAACCCCAAATCTAGTAATGTTTATACTTTTGTTTGTTTCTTTCGGAATGCCATCATATTTCATTTTGAAAAGGGCATTCGGGTAGCCTAGTGGTTAAAGCGTTATCTCGTCACGCCGAGGACCCTGGGTTCGATTCCCGACATGGGTACAATGTGTGAAGCCCATTTCTGGTGTTCCCCGTCGTGATATTGCTGGAATATTGCTTAAAGCGGCGTAAAACCAAAACTCACTCACCCATTTTGAAAAGGTTTACGACTGACCATGTTTTCCAGATAAATTTACATTGTTGTTTTAATAATCATATTGATTCGAGATTGCAGACTAACGGAAAATCAACCAACTTCTCCCTTACATTCTTACTATTTTAATTAAAGATGATAGTTTTAATGAAATAAAAATTCAAATTGACAAAGAAAGAAAGTAATTTAGCAGCGGTAATTGCATTCGGCGTCACGCCAGTCGTCACTTGTTTGTAAACATAACGGTCATTCGGTTGCGAGTTCCAACTCCAAGCATGGTTGGGGCCACCTATCACAGTGGGGAGTTTTGACTGATGGCAGCGATAGTGTAGAGAGCTCCGCAAACGGACTCGCTGTGAGGAGCTTGACAACTCATAGGGAAGAGTTGTGTCCCTTAGCTGTTGAGATCTACTGGTTTGGGGTTTCTATTGCAGTTTCAGAACTGTATTTGTGCCTGTCGTTTCTGAGATATTGTAAAAGTCAAGAACTTGTTACTTGGGGCTTCCCTTCCTTGTTAATGACACGTCATGATATGACACGTTCTTTCTAACTCCTTGACAAAACACAGCTGGGGTGCTGTGATACAGAAGGAACCATGATTTCAAAGATTTCAGAAATAAGAGACTTGATAACAAGGGTCTAGCTTCTCCACACTTATTGCAGGGCCAAAACAACTCTGAAATACAATCTGTTTGCAATATATATTTTTCCACTTTTTGGGGTAAAGTTTCAAAGGATAACAAAAGCTGTTTTTTGTCTCTGAAATGTTGGGAGTTAAATCCAACACCATTACATTGTCAGAGTGGGAAATGGGCTTGAAGTCTTGATCATGCCAACAAAATGGTAATTAAGACAATTTGTGTTAGGATATTTATCAACAGAATGAAGCATATTGTGTATCGTGTCATCAAATTAATGTTTGTTTGGGTGAATTGTTTCAGCCTTAAGTTGTTTAGTCTGTGTATTTGAGAAGAAGTGTGACAAACGTGATCAGAAATATGGACATGCTTTAAGAGAAGACGTCCTCGCAACAAGATTTTTTTCTGATGGTGACTAGTTAAGTATGCGAGACTGGATATCTCTGAAGAGGTGAACCTCCCAGGTTTGACATTGCCCTCATTGATCTTCAGCCTTCAGTGTAGGGGGCAGACTTAAAAAACAATCCTGTGAAGACCTGTGTGATGATACTCACTTCATGGCGGAACGATTCCAAGATTCACGGGCGGAACGGTTCCAAGATTCACGGGCGGAACGATTCCAAGATTCCTGGGTGAAACGATTCCAAGATTCCTGGGTGAAACGATTCCAAGATTCACGGGTGAAACGATTCCAAGATTCACGGGTGAAACGATTCCAAGATTCACGGGTGAAACAAGGAATCGAGGACACAATTACCTTATTGCCGAGTTGACAAATCTTGATTCCAAATTTCCTAATAGGTTTGATGATTTTTTTTAAAGGGAATATTGTTTGTAACAAATGTTCCTTGTTTTAAAACTTGAATGAATGTATTACTTTGCACTTCTTTAGTGTGGCATTCCTTGGTACCCTGTTCTTGTAAGGGGTGACTTATCAGGTTCAGGGGATGACTGTACATGACCATGTTGATTGTGTTTGTTGTACGTCATCACTGGATCATAGCACATGTCAAGCAATGGTTTGTCTGGCCGAGACCTCCCTGGAAAATGTCAGTACATGTTGACTTACGGATTTCAGCTTCTATATCTTTTCAATGCATTGTTGGGGGCGTGGGTGGCCCAGTCATCTAGGGTGCTACAATTCACTGTGCTAAGTTGTCCCTTGATTTTAAAAGCCTGTGCCCCATGGGGATTCTGGGTTCAATTTGGTCCCAAGCAACCCAGGCTAGTCAAAGAAGTGAGCAAATGGAGCAGGTAGTTGGGTTCAGTGACTTGGTTTGCGTGTCATCTTACTCCCAGTGGTGTGGATTGTTGCGCATATCAATCACTGTATTGTCTGGTCCAGATTTATTTACATGCCACCACCATTTAGATGGAATATTTCAGAAGGGGGTGTCAAAGAAACTTTGAAGCCCACTGTGATATTTCTTTAATATTGCTAACTATGGCATAAAACAACATTCACTTAGTGTTTGCTTTATTATATACTTCTCAACTTTTGATTGGGATAATCAGATATGCCATTCTATTTTAATATACACTTGACGTAATATTAGAATCACTTTTGTGTATCATGGAAATTGTTGTAGTATGCATTCGTTGAAGGTCTTTTTATTATGTTGTATTTTGTATTATATTATATTCTTTGAAGTTGTGAACATGTTGTTTAGCTCACTGTTGGGTGTTTGTGAACTTGACCAAAGACTTGTTGTATGTTAGAGTATTTTCTTCTAACTTAGTGGTTTTCAGTATAGGGCCGAACATGCAGATGCCCACTCTAAGAGAGACTTGCTAAAGACTGTGTTCATGTGATAAACTTGAATTTGAACTGGTTCAAGTCACAGACTCTGGACAATCATCCAATAATGGATAATGTTTTCTGTGTGGGGAAATATTCATTGGAGATGGAGTGTGTTAAATCTGGACACTGGACTAAGCAACGTGAATCTAAATTTCCGAAGAATATTAGAAAATTCAAGGATGAAAAAAGCGATTGTGCATTTCCTGCGATGGTACTAGTGTACAAGGATAACTGGGAATAATTGAGACGGTCCCCATGCAATCAGCAAGCGTTTGTGCTGCCGTTAAATTTGTGCCGAAATAAGGTGGGTTCGATGTATATGCTGAGTAGATTTATGCATCTGCCTTTTTGCAGATGTCTTAAAATAAAGACATTTTTATCCCTCATAACAGCATGAAGGATGTGTCAACTTGACTAGAAATTGTTTAATTTAATTTTCATATTGCATTATTTGCTAAATAAGTCATGCTTTCTTTAAAATTTAGAGATGTTTATCTTTGTAATTGTTTGATATTTTAATTGTTTTTAAATGTAATGAAAGTCAAGTTGACATTCTCTAATACGCGTTCATAGGCCTCCCTACGCCAACTTTGTTGGTCGTGAAAGTTGATCACTAAGATATGATTGTGCTTCCACAAGAAGACTGTAAACTCTTTGCTTTCATTATTCTTTTGTAGTTTTACAAGTTAAAACGGAAAAAAAAAATTCTGTAAGCAAATTTCCCGCATGTAATGTTGCTAAAAGAGGCGTAAAACCACTCTTCTTAAGCGAATTGCATACTTTATCATATCACCTGAAGTCTTCTTTTATGTAAGCTAATCATTTCTGAGTAGCAACCCAGTTGGGTTCAATTCCTACCTGGCTTAGCAGTTTGTTCTTGATGCTGAGAATCGACCACCATCATAATGTTTAAAAATGGAAAATGTTGAATCAGTTTCTTTTTCAATCAAATTTCATTTAATCAAAAAGTTAGATATATTGAAAGCAATTTCATTACAAGTGTCGAATTTGTGCATCTTGAATAACTGGCAAGTCAGTTAACCTCCACTATGGACCGTCTGCTGATTGTCGACTCTGGATGTAGCTGTTGCTGCTGCTGCAGTGATCCTGTGCTAGAAGAATTAAGGTAAGTGGAAACACAACGCAAAACATCCACCACCACCATAGAACACAGTGTTAGGGAGGGGGGATGCGGGACTATTTAAGTGGGCAG